GACACTGAGAACTGGGCCTTGAGCGCTCCAGCTGGAGGTCAGCTGTGACCAGCAGTGCTATAGATTTTGAAGAGGGCGAAAGAGAGACGTAATGTTGGTGGGCAGGAAAAGAGGTTTCAAGATGGGCTCAAAGCCAACCTTAAAAACTGTGGCATAGATATTGAGAACTGGGAAGTGTTTTGTTTAGCACTCCAGCTGGAGGTTAGCTGTGACCAGCAGTGCTGTAGAATTTGAAGAGGCAGAATGGAGGGTGAAAGAGAGAAATGTGCCAAGAGGAAGGAGCATCAACCCAACCCCGACTGGGACTGCCTTCCACCTGGAAACGAATGCCCTCGCTACGGGAGAACATGTGGGTCAAGAATAGGGCTCCACAGTCACCTATGGACCCACCGCCAAAACACTGATCCTGGAAGACTATCCTACTCGGACAACGAGGGATCGCCTAAATAAGTAAGTAAGTGGTGGTAGGTGGGTGTGTATCCCGGCCATCGCTCCCAAATCAACCCTTCAAGGGTGCGAATTCATCTGCCCGGCAGTCCTTCAAAGGAGAAGCCAGTGAAGAATGGGAAGAGAGGCTGCTCCTCGGTGGGCCGGGCGGGAAGAGAGGCTGATCTCCAAAGCCTTGTGACCAGGTCAGCTCCGAGTGCCTCGCCTGACGGAGAATCAACCTGACAAGGAAGAGTTCAGCTGTCGGGATCGTTTAGTGCCGGATGCAGACGGAGAGGAAGGAGGAGGAGGAGAGCGGTGGGCAGAGGACGCTTTGAGCCAACTTTGGCTCAGCACCAGCGAGCACAAATCAGCCGTCCCCGAGTTGTAAATATCCGGCTTACATCCGGGCTGTGGTGCAGCTAGTTAGTAGCCAGCTGCTTAAATAACTACTGGTTCAAAGCCAGCCCGGGCTGGAGTGAGCTCCCCACCATTAATAGTCTAGCTTGCTGTTGACCTATGCAGCCCAAAAGACAGGTGCATCTGTCAAGTAGGAAATTTAGGTACCGCTTTTAAGTGGGGATCATAGAATCATAGAATCAAAGAGTTGGAAGAGACCTCATGGGCCATCCAGTCCAACCCCCTGCCAAGAAGCAGGAATATTGCATTCAAATCACCCCTGACAGATGGCCATCCAGCCTCTGTTCAAAAGCTTCCAAAGAAGGAGCCTCCACCACACTCCAGGGCAGAGAGTTCCACTGCTGAACGGCTCTCACAGTCAGGAAGTTCTTCCTAATGTTCAGATGGAATCTCCTTTCTTGTAGTTTGAAGCCATTGTTCTGCGTCCTAGTCTCCAGGGAAGCAGAAAACAAGCTTGCTCCCTCCTCCTCCCTGTGGCTTCCACTCACATATTTATACATGGCTATCATATCTCCTCTCAGCCTTCTCTTCTTCAGGCTAAACATGCCCAGCTCCTTAAGCCGCTCCTCATAGGGCTTGTTCTCCAGACCCTTGATCATTTTAGTCGCCCTCCTCTGGACACATTCCCGCTTGTCAATATCTCTCTTGAATTGTGGTGCCCAGAATTGGACACAATATTCCAGGTGTGGCCTAACCAAAGCAGAATCGAGGGGTAGCATGACTTCCCTAGATCTAGACACTATGCTCCTATTGATGCAGGCCAAAATCCCACTGGCTTTTTTTTGCCGCCACATCACATTGTTGGCTCATGTTTAACTTGTTGTCCACGAGGACTCCAAGAGGCTAATTTAACTAATTTACGACTCCATAAAATGTTCCAGCAGTGTGCAAAAGAATGAGAAAGAACTCCATCAAAGTCGTAAGTGGAAAGTGAAGCAACAGCTCCCCCTGTGGTTGGAATTGAGCATACGCTCATGAAGCCGGAATAGCTGGAATGTTCAATTGCCTCTGTGTCTGTCTATATGTGTTGTATGTCTCAATGGCATTGAATGTTTGCCATCTATATGTGCATTTTAATCCACCATGAGTCCCCTGCGGGGTGAGAAGGGCGGGATATAAATACTGTCAATAAATAGAAGGTCGGCTGCTGTCTTCACCTTGTTGCCTTGTTTTTTACTCGTGTTCTATTTTGAAATGGTCATATGACTGATCAAATAAATAATAATAATAATTATTATTATTATACTGTAAATAAATACGTTTTTGCAAGTGACCTCTTTGATGACTCTTTGACACAGTGGAGCCTTCTGTGTCCGGGTGGTGTTCATTAGTCACTGCTGTGAATCTGGTAGCCACGTTTTGTTCAGGAAAAGAGATTCCACCTGAACATTAGAAAGAACTTCCTACCTGTGAGAGCTGTTCAGCAGTGGAACTCTCTGCTCTGGAGTGTGGTGGAGGCTCCTTCTTTGGAGGCTTTGAATCAGAGACTGGATAGCCATATTTGGGGGTGCTTTGAATGTGATTTTCCTGCTTCTTGGAGAATGGGGTCAGACTGGATGGCCCACGAGGTGTCTTCCAACTCTAGGATTCTAGGATTCTATGTTCATCAGGGGAACTCCCTGTCCCAGAGTGTGGTGGAGGCCCCTTCTTTGGAGGCTTTGAATCAGAGGCTGGATGGCCATCTGTCAGGGGTGTTTTGAATGTGATTGTCCTGTATCTTGGCAGACTGGGGTTGGATTGAATGATGGCCCATCAGGTCTCTTCCAACTCTATGATTCTATGTTCAGCAGTGGAATTCTCTGCCTTGGAGTGTGGTAGAGGCTCCTTCTTTGGAGGCTTTGAATCAGAGGCTGGATGGCCATCTGTCAGGAGTGCTTTGAATGCGATTTTCCTGCTTCTTGGCAGAATGGGGTTGGACTGGATGGTCGATGAGGTCTCTTCCAACTCTATGATTCTAGGATTCTATGTTCAGCAGTGGAACTCTCTGCCCTGGAGTGTGGTGGAGGCTCCTTCTTTGGAGGCTTTGAATCAGAGGCTGGGTGGTCATGTGTCGGGGGTGCTTTGAATGCAATTTTCCTGCCTCTTGGCAGAATGGGGTTGGAGTAGATGGCCCAGGAGGTCTCTTCCAACTCTACGATTCTAGGATTCGTGGTTTCTTCCTTTCTGCTGATACTCTCCACGTGTTTGTGGATTTCAGTGGGTTCTCTGTGCAGTGTGACAAAGTGGTTTGTCTGAGTAGTCCAAAATTTTTGTGTTTTCAAATAATATTCTGTGCTCTGCTGATGCAGATTTTTCTAGTTGAAGTGCCTTTTGTTGATATTCCACGGGTGTATGTATATGTGTGTGTGTGTATATATATATACACATACATACATACTAGCTGTACCTACCATGCATTGCTGTGGCCAACCTTCCTCTTTCTCTCCTCCTTTCTTTCTCTCCTTCCTTCCCTCCCTCTTTCCTTTCTTCCTTTCCTTTCTTTCTTTCTTTCTTTCTTTCCTTCTTTCCTTCTTTCCTCTTCCCTTCCTTTCCCTTTTCTTTCCCTTTTGCCTTCTCTCCTTCCTTCCCTTCCTCTTCCCTTCCTCCCTTTTCTTTCCCTTCCTCTTTTTGTCCTTTCTTCCTTCTCTACCTGGCATTGTGTTTATTTACTTGCTGTACTTGCCACACGTTGCTGTGGCCAACCTTCCTCTTTCTCTCCTTCCTTCCTTTCTCTCCTTCTTTCTCTTCCTCTTCCCTTCCTCTTCCCCCTCTTTTCTTTCTCTTTTGGCTTCTCTCCTTCCTTCTCTTCCTCTTCGCTTCCTTTCCCCCTTTTCTTTCCCTTCCTCTTTCTGTCCTTTCTTCCTTCTCTACCTGGGATTGTATTACTTACTAGCTGTACCTGCCACACATTGCTGTGGCCAACTTTCCTTTTCCTTCCCTTCCTTCCTTCCCTCCCTCTTTCCTTCCTTCCCTTTTTTCTTTCCTTCTCTCCTTCCTTTCTCTCCTTCCTTCTCTTCATTTCCCCTTCCTCTCCCCCTCTTTTCTTTCCCTTTTGCTTCCTCTTTCTTTCCTTCTCTTCTCTTCTTTCCTTTTTTCTTTCCTTCTCTCCTTCCTTCTTCCTTCTCTTCCTCTTCCCTTCCTTCCCCCTTTTCTTTCTCCCTTCTCTCCTTTTTCCTTCTCTACCTATTCTTCTCCCCGTCCCTCTCCCACCTTCTCTTCTTCCTTTCTTCTCCTCTTTTCTCCTTTCCTCCCTCTTTATTTCCTTCCTTTTTTCTTTCTTCTCTTTCCCCTCCTTTCTCTCCTTCCTTCCTTCTTCCTCTTCCTTCTTCCCTCTTTTCTTCCTTTCTTTCTCTCCTTCCTCCTTCCTCTTCCTCTTTCCTTCCTTCCTTCCTTCCCTTTTTTCTTCCTTCCTCCTTCTTCCTTCCTTCTTTCTTCCTCCCCTTCCTTCTTCTCTTTTCTTTCCCTTTTGCTTTCTCTCCTTCCTTCCTTCCTTCATCCCTTTTCTTCCCTTCCTCTTTCTCCCTGTTCTTTCTTCTCTACCTATTCTTGGAGTGCAACTCCCAGCAGTCCTCTTGATTAATTGATCTACCTACCTACCAACCTATCTCTATCTAATCTATCTATCTGGAGGATTGCTGGGAGTTGCAGTCCAGGAATAGGAAATTGGAAATATGCAGGGATTGGGATGCTCTCAAAGAAATCCAAGGAGAAGAAAGCTTGCATCTTGGAAGCAGTGCATTTGGATCATCCTCCTCTCCCAAAGGGCCTGGTCTAGGGGATGCTGGGAGCTGTAGTCTGGAAGAGAGTGTGGATATGCTATTGTGTGTTTTGTTTGCCAAGGGGAGTCGTTTTGCGCATGTGTTGTAGCTTTTTGTTGTTGCTTTTTTTGCTTTTTGTGTCCCTTCCGCTGTGTTTTTCAGTGTTTTTATGAGTGATAGTCACTCGTTGGCCTGATACATGTATTATGCCCAAATTTGGTGTCAATTCGTCCAGTGGTTTTTGAGTTATGTTAATCCCACAAACGAACATTACAAGAGCCGGCATTGTCCATAGACACTTCCAAGGTCATGTGGCCGGCATGACTTCATGGAGAGCCGGACAAAAATCGGGAATGTGTCGGGCTTTTGGGTATGTGTGTGTCTCTCTCTCACCACCCGTCTCTTTTCCTCTTGCAGTTTGCTGGTTGGAGGAATGGCCCAGCCATGAATGGTGACGCCGTCTGCCAAGAGCCTCCCTCCTCCCAGCTTCCCGACTGGAGGGAATTCTGCGAGGTCCACGCCCAGGCGGCCGCGGTGGACTTTGCCCAGAAGTTCTGCCAGTTTGTGAAGGAGAACCCCCACTACGACACCCCCGGGGCAGAGGCCTCCTTCTCCCACCACTTTGCCGCCAACTTCCTGGACGTCTTTGGCCTGGAGGTCAACCGGGTGTTTGCCTCCGACTCGCCCACGACCTACAACATCGTGCCCTTTGTGGGCCTCCAGAACTGCCACATGCCTTATGGGAGGGACCTCTTGCCCAGGAAGGAGCAGACCTCCTCGGAGTCCTTGGACAGCATGGACAACCCGGTCGCCGCCACCACCACCAGTGGCGGCAGATACCTCAGCCAGTCACAGCAGGCCCAAGCCCGGAAGGTCTCCTCCTACGGCCAGTCCCGCAGCTCAGAGGACATCTCTGTCCACGGCAGCCTGAAGCCCAGGTTCAAGAAAGGGTTCTCCTTGCGGAACATGAGCCTGTGCGTGGTGGACGGCATGAAGGAGATGTGGCACCGGAGGTCTTCTCCGGAGCCCGGGGCGGAGGCGGCACAAGGCCGGCGGCCAGACCGAGAGCCGTGTCCCTCCGCAAACAAGGAGCACGGTGACCCCAGGGAGAAATGGACCCACAAGCTCCGGCTTTCCAAAGGACAGTCTTCCAAGGTGGACCTGGTGGACATCCAGAGGGAAGGGACACTCCGCTACATGGTGGCTGACGATACGAACTGTGTGGGGAGCCCTCAGTGGCAGAAGTGCCGCTTGATGCTGAGGAAAGCCGTGAAGGTGGAAGGGGAAAAGTTCCTCCTGGAGTTTTACGTCCCTCCTAAGGTAAGCATCAGGATCAGAAGTTTGGTCGCTGTAGTGTAACTGTACTGGAATGTTTGGAATGGGGTCAGATTGACATTAGGGATGTGCAAATCCATCCTGTTTTTGTTTTGTTTTTGTTTTGGATTTCAGGTGCCTCCCATTCTGTTTTTGGGATGATCCCATGAGATTAGGAAGGGGGACATTTGGATTCGTAATTCAGGATCCGGAGTTATGTTTGGATTCGTAATTCAGGATCCGGAGTTATGTTTGGATTCGTAATTCAGGATCCGGATTTCCGTTTGGATTCGTAATTCAGGATCCGGATTTCCGTTTGGATTTGTAATTCAGGATCCAGAGTTTTGTTTGGATTCGTTTTTCAGGATCCGGAGTTCCATTTCAATTTGTAATTCTGGTTCCGGAGTTATGTTTGGATTTGTAATTCAGGATCCGGAGTAATGTTTGGATTRGTAATTCAGGATCCAGAGTTATGTTTGGATTCYTAATTCAGGATCCYGAGTTKTGTTTGGATTRGTAATTCAGGATCRGGAMTTCCGTTTGGATTRGTAATTCAGGATCCAGAGTTTRGTTTGGATTCGTTTTTCAGGATCCGGAGTTCCGTTTCAATTCGTAATTCTGGTTCCGGAGTTATGTTTGGATTTGTAATTCAGGATCCGGAGTAATGTTTGGATTCGTAACTCAGGATCCGGATTTCTGTTTTGATTCGTAATTCTGGATCCAGAGTTATGTTTGGATTGTAATTCAGTATCTGGATTTGTGTTTGGATTCGTAATTCAGGATCCGGAGTTCCCTTGTAATTCTGGATCCGGAGTTATGTTTGGATTGTAAATCAGTATCTGGACTTCTGTTTGGATTTGTAATTCTGGATCCGGAGTTATGTTTGGATTGTAATTCAGTATCTGGACTTCTGTTTGGATTCGTAATTCAGGATCCGGAGTTCCGTTTGGATTCGTAATTCATGATCCGGAATTATGTTTGGATTCGTAATTCTGTTTCCGGAGTTATGTTTGGATTTGTAATTCAGGATCCGGACTTCTGTTTGGATTCGTAATTCAGGATCCGGAGTTCCCTTGTAATTCTGGATCCGGAGTTATGTTTGGATTGTAAATCAGTATCTGGACTTCTGTTTGGATTTGTAATTCTGGATCCGGAGTTATGTTTGGATTGTAATTCAGTATCTGGACTTCTGTTTGGATTCGTAATTCAGGATCTGGAGTTCTGTTTGGATTTGTAATTCTGGTTCCGGAGTTCCGTTTGGATTTGTAATTCAGGATCCGGAGTTTCGTTTGGATTCGTAATTCTGGATCCGGAGTTATGTTTGGATTTGTAATTCAGGATCCGGAGTTATGTTTGGATTCGTAATTCAGGATCCGGAGTTCCATTTGGATTCGTAATTCAGGATCCGGAGTTCCGGTTGGATTCGTAATTCAGGATCCGGAGTTCCGTTTGGATTCGTAATTCAAGATCCGGAGTTATGTTTGGATTCGTAATGTAGGATCCAGAGTTCCGTTTGGATTTGTAATTCAGGATCCGGAGTTATGTTTGGATTCGTAATTCAGAATCCAGAGTTCGAAATGAAATGAAAGCAGGATGGATTCACACACCCCAAGGCACTTTCTTTCCCATGGCGGACCTGCTACACAGACATCACACACCGGTTGTAAAAAAAGCAACTGCTCTGCAGCCTCGGGGCTTTCGTTGGTGCCAGGTTTGTGGAGCGTGTTTCCTTTCTGAAACCGTGTGGATTTCTCAGGGACTCTGCCAGGCCAGCTGCCGTGACAGCTGTGCGTGAAGCATCCCGTCCACTCCCGTAAGCGGTTGCAAGTCTGCAGGCTCTGAAAGCGTGTTAGGCTCGGTCCTCGTTCAACAGGAACCCTTCCTTGTGCCGAAAACAGAGCCGAAGGAAATGTCTGTGGCCACTGTGAGCACAACATACCGGACAAGGTGGGGTGTGGTGGGGATCCCATCCTGGCATACCCCATGTTGCGTTTCCAGGGGTGTTGTTGCCAAACATGCCACAGATCAGGCTTCTGTTCACTCCCTTCTAACCTTCTATTCATTTCCAAGGAAGGAAAGGAACTCTGGGTTGTTATAGGTTTTTCCAGGCTCTCAATCTATATTCCAGAAGCATTCTCTCCTGACGTTTCACCTCCATCTTCAGAGGTTGAGAGGTCTGTCAGAAACTAAGAAAATGGAGTTTACATACCTGGTGAATGATGTCCAGGGTGGGAGAAAGAACTCTTGTCTGTTGGATGCAAGTGGGAATGTTGCTATTGGCCAGCTTGATTACCATCCCAACAAAGGATGCCCCCAGGCAGAGAGCAGTCAGGCATTGAAACTGGTATATATATATCTGTGGAATGATGTCTAGGGTCAGAGAAAGAACTATTGTCTGTTGGAGGCAAGTGGGAATGTTGCTGTTGGCCAATTTGATTACCATCCCAACAAAGGATGCCCCCAGGCAGAGCAGTCAGGTATTGAAGCTGCTTTATATCTCTGTGGAATGATGTCCAGGGTGGGAGAAAGAACTCTTTTCTGTTGGAAGGAGGTGTGAACGTTGCCATTGACCACCTTGAGTACCATCCCAACAAAGGATGCTCCCAGGCAGAGAGCAGTCAGGCATTGAACCTGGTGTGTATATGTGTGTGTGTGTGTGTGTGTGTGAAGTGATGTCCAGGGTGGGAGAAAGAACTCTTGTCTGTTGGAGGCAAGTGGGAATGTTGCTACTTTCCACATTGATTATCATCCCAACAAAGGATGCACCCAGGCAGAGACTAGTCAGGCATTGAAGCTGGTTTATATATCTGTGGAATAATGTCCAGGGTGGGAGAAAGGACTCTTGTCTGTTGGAGGCAAGTGGGAATGTTGCTATTGGCCAATATGATTACCATCCCAACAAAGGATGCCCCCAGGCAGAGAGCAGCCAGGCATGGAAGCTGGTTTATATATCTGTGGAATAATGTCCAGGGTGGGAGAAAGGACTCTTGTCTGTTGGAGGCAAGTGTGAATGTTGCCATTGGCCAGCTTGATTACAATCCCAACAAAGGATGCCCCCAGGCAGAGAGCAGCCAGGCATTGAAGCTGGTTTATATATGTGTGGAATGATGTCCAGGGTGGGAGAAAGAACTCTTGTCTGTTGGAGGCAAGTGGGAATGTTGCTACTGGCCACGTTGATTATCATCCCAACAAAGGATGCCCCCAGGCAGAGACTAGTCAGGCATTGAAGCTGCTTTATATCTCTCTGGAATAATGTCCAGTGTGGGAGAAAGGACTCCTGTCTGTTGGAGGAAAGTGGGAATGTTGCTATTGGCCACCTTGATTACCATCCCAACAAAGGATGCCCCCAGGCAGAGAGCAGTTAGGCATTGAACCTGGTGTGTATATGTGTGTGTGTGTGAAGTGATGTCCAGGGTGGGAGAAAGATCTCTTGTCTGTTGGAGGTAGGTGTAATGTTGCCATTGGCCAGCTTGATTACAATCCCAACAAAGGATGCCCCCAGGCAGAGAGCAGCCAGGCATTGAAGCTGGTTTATATATGTGTGGAATTATGTCCAGGGTGGGAGAAAGAACTCTTGTCTGTTGGAGGCAAGTGGGAATGTTGCCATTGGCCAGCTTGATTACCATCCCAACAAAGGATGCCCCCAGGCAGAGAACAGCCAGGCATTGAAGCTGGTTTATATATGTGTGGAATGATGTCCAGGGTGGGAGAAAGGACTCTTGTCTGTTGAAGGCAAGTGGGAACGTTGCTATTGACCACCTTGATTAGCATTTGATGGCCTAGCAGTTTCAAGGTGTGGCTTGTTACTGCCTGGGGGAATCCTTCGTTGTGAGGTGATTAGCTGTTCCTGATTGTTTCCTGTCTGTAGTTCCCGTGTTCTTTATTTACTATTCTAATGTTACGAGTTTTTTAATACTGGATTGTGTTCATTTTCTTCCTTTCTGTTGAAATTGTCCACCTGCTTCTTGTGGATTTCAGTGGCTTCTCTGTGTAGCCTGACGTGGTGGTCCAGGAACTCTGGGTTTGCACTTGATTTTTTAGAGAGATCACAGTCAGCATGAATAACATTGATCCCAAAACTGCTGGGTTCAGAGCACCAGCGGTCCTCCTTCTGGGATATGAATTTTTCAAGACGGGCAGCAAACGCTTGGCGGCTCCTGCCAACAGTGCCAGTCATCCGCTCCATTGAGAACATCTTTGCTGGCTCAGAGATTCAGAGAACCCATCCTCTGTTGGTTCTGGTTCCCCGGCTTCTGACAGGCTCTCGAGTGGGCCACCCGGCTCCACTCATGTCCCCAACGGAGTGACTGCATCTGTTCAAGTGCCGACACGACACAGAGCAAATTCTTCGCTCCAATGAGACAGAACCCATTGATCCCCGTTGCTTGAATGCACTGAGCTGGAGGCTGCCCAAGTGGAAAACCCGGCTTGCCTTTCTGGAAAATCCTAGAATCCTAGAGTTGGAAGAGACCTGGTGGGCCATCCAGTCCAACCCCATTCTGCCAAGAAGCCGGAAAATCACATTCAAAGCACCCTGATGTGCCTTTATCTTGGCCTGAGGGATAATAACTCCACCGCAATCTTCTTGTTCAATCACTTCTTTCAGTGGAGATGTCAGGTGAGTCTGCTATCTGAACGATTTCAGCAAGGGATCCCGTCGGGTCCGCTGGCTTTGTACCAGGCGCTATGCTTGGAAGGCAACCTATTCAGCTACGATGGCAACAAGTCTCCAATGGCTCTGCAAACCTGGGTTTGAACCTTCACTCGGCAATTTTGGTCCAGTCACACAGTCTCAGCCTCGGAAAAAGGAAAGGCAATTGGCTCGAATGCTGTTTTTACATATATGTGTATAATTTCTTCTTCCTCCTTCCTGCTCACGTTTCCTGTCATAGAATCATAGAGTTGGAAGAGACCTCGTGAGCCATCCAGTCCAGCCAAGAAGCAGGGCAATCATCTTCAAAGCACTCCGACAGATGGCCGTCCAGCCTCTGTTCCAAAGCCTCCAAAGAAGAAGTCTCCACCACACACCGGGGCAGAGAGAGAATGCTGCACTATGATTCATAGAATCCTAGAGTTGGAAGAGACCTCATGGGCCATCCAGTCCAACCCCATTCTGCCAAGAAGCAGGAAAATCACCTTCAAAGCACCCCCAAAAGATTGCCATCCAGCCTCTGTTTCAAAGCCTCCAAAGAAGGAGCCTCCACCCTTCCCCAAAATTCTTGATAATTACTGGGTTGTTGTGTGTTTTCCGGGCTTCCTGGCCATATCCCAGAAGCATTCTCTCCTGACGTTTTGCCTGCATCTATGGCTGGCATCCTCAGATGTTGTGAAGTCTGTTGGAAACTAGGAAAATTGGGTTTATATATCTGTGGAATGATGTCCAGGGTGGGAGAAAGAACTCTTGTCTGTTGGAGGTTTCAATTGGCCACCTTGATTAGCATTTAATGGCCTAGCAGTTTCAAGGTGTGGCTTCTTGCTGCCTGGGAGACTCCTTTGTTGAGAGAAGATTAGCTGTCCCTGATTGTTTCTTGTCTGGAGTTCCCCTGTTTTTGAGTATTCTTTATTTACTTTCCTGATGTTAGACTGGTTTTTTTTAATACTGGGAGCCAGATTTTGTTCATTTTTATGGTTTCATACTTTCTGTTGAAATTGTCCACATGCTTGTGGATTTCAATGGCTTCTCTGTGTAGTCTGACAAAAAAACTCTAAAATCTTAACAGTAAATAAATTTATTTATTATTTATTTATTTACAGTATTTCTCTTCCACCCTTCTCACCCCACAGGGATTACAATGCACATATACATGGCCATCATTCAATGCCATACATACACAACATATATAAACGGAAACACAGAGGCTATTTAACTTTCCAGCTTCATGGGGGTATACTTTTTGAATTCTGGCCACCGGGAGAGCTGTCGCTTCTCTGTCCACTTGTGACACAGATGGAGTACTTCATCATTCTTTTGCACTCTGCTGGAGATTTTTATGGCCTTGTAAATTAGTTAAATTAGCCTCCCCAGCATAAGTGGTACCTAAATTTCCTGCTTGACAGATGCAACTTTCGGACTGCAAAGGTTGACAGCAAGCTAGATAAATGGTCGGGAGGTTACTCTGACCCAAGCTGGCTTCGAACTTCATGACCAGTAGTGATTTTAATGCAGCTGTCTCCCAACCAGCTGTGCCACAACCCTGTCCAAGAACACTCAAAAACAGGGGAACTCCAGACAAAAAGCAATCAGGGACAGATAATCACCTCTCAACAAAGGATTCTACAGGCAGTAAGAAGCCAGATCTTGAAACTGTTAGGCTATTCAATGCTAATCAAGGTGGCCAATGGAAACATTCACACTTACCTCCAACAGACAAGAGTTCTTTCTCCCACCCTGGACATTCCACATATATATAAACCTGTTTCAATGCCTGGCTGCTCTCTGCCTGGGGGCATCCTTTGTTGGGATTGTAATCAAGGTGGCTAATAGCAACATTCCCACTTGCCTCCAACAGACAAGAGTTCTTTCTCTCACCCTGGACATCATTCCACAGATATATAAACCAGCTTCAATGCCTGGCTGCTCTCTGCCTGGGGGCATCCTTTGTTGGGATGGTAATCAAGGTGGCCAACAGCAACCTTCACACCTCCCTCCAACAGACAAGAGTTCTTTCCCCCACCCTGGACATTATTCCACAGAGATATAAACCAGCTTCAATGCTTGGCTGTTCTCTGCCTGGGGGCATCCTTTGTTGGGATGGTAATTAAGCTGGCCAATAACATTCCCACTTGCCTCCAACAGACAAGAGTTCTTTCTCTCACTCTGGACATCATTCCACAGATATATAAACCAGCTTCAATGCCTGGCTGCTCTCTGCCTGGGGGCATCCTTTGTTGGGATGGTAATTAAGCTGGCCAATAACATTCCCACTTGCCTCCAACAGGCAAGAGTTCTTTCTCTCACCCTGGACATCATTCCACAGATATATAAACCAACTTCCATGCCTGGCTGTTCTCTGCCTGGGGGCATCCTTTGTTGGGATGGTAATCAAGCTGGCCAATAACATTCCCACTTGCCTCCAACAGACAAGAGTTCTTTCTCTCACCCTAGACATCATTCCACAGATATATAAACCAGCTTCAATGCCTGGCTGCTCTCTGCCTGGGGGCATCCTTTGTTTGGATGGTAATTAAGCTGGCCAATAACATTCCCACTTGCCTCCAACAGGCAAGAGTTTTTTCTCCCACCCTGGACATTATTCCACAGATATATAAACCCCACTTCCTAGTTTCCAACAGACCTCCCAACCTCTGAGAATGCCTGCCACAGATGCAGGCGAAACGTCAGGAGAGAATGCTACTGGAACACACAACAACCCAATTTTCTCTTCTGTTTTGTGGTAGGGGAACTAATTATTCTTCCCACGCTATTTTTTGCCCCCAGTGCCAAAAATAGATTGTTTGGAAGAGAAAAGGCATTAACGTTGTTGGTGAAACTGGTCTCCACTCTGGGTTATTTCCCGCCGGGCGCTGTGCTTTTAATTAAGAGATCTTGGTGTTCCTGGGGAAACACTGGGGAAATGGTCATTTTTAAATAGCACTATGTCACAAAATTGGAAACATTTTCTGTTCCTGGTTTGAAAATCTTAATCCTGTTTGATCGGTCGGTCCTCACTTTGAAAGTCGTCGCTATGCCCGGAAACTTCGTTTTTGCACCTGCCACACACCTTGTTGAATTGGCACACCCAACACTCTCTCTCTTTGTGTGGCTTCCAGGCCTCCAAAGCAAAGGTCAGCATCCCACTCTCGGCCATCATCGAGGTGCGCACAACCATGCCTCTGGAGATGCCCGACAAAGACAACACGTTTGTCCTGAAGGTAAGGGGGCCTCGCAGGCAAAACGGGATGCTCTTCGGCTTCGGCTTCCCAGTCTCGCTCAGGTAGGGTCCCCTCAAAGCCGTTTGCTCCCTCAGGAGTGATGGGATTGTATTTACATACTAGCTGCACCTGCCACACGTTGCTGTGGCCAACCAAGTCCCCTTGGGCAGATGGTGGCGGGGTATAAATAAAGTTTTATTATTATTACTATTATTATCACTATTATTATTATTCTCTCCTTTCTTTCTCTCCTTCCTTCCTTCCCTTTCCTTTCTTCCTTCCTTCCTTCCTTCCTTCCTTCCTTCCTTCTCTTTTCCTTCCTTCTTTCCTTCTTTCCTTCTTTCCTTCCTTCCTTCCTTCCTTCCTTTATTCCTTCTTCCTTCCTTCTCTTCCTTTCCTTCCTTCCTTCTCTCCTTTTCCTTCCTTCTCCTTCCTTCTCTCTATTCCTTCCTTCCCCTTTTCCCTTTTGCTTTCTCTCCTTCCTTCCCTTCCTCTCCCTTCCTTTTCTTTCCCTTCCTTTCTCTCCTTCCTTTGTTCTCTTCCCTTCCTTTCCCCCCTTTCTTTCCCCTTTGCTTTCTCTCCTTCCTTCTCTTCCTCTTCCCTTCCTTTCCCCCCTTTTCTTTCCCTTCATTTCTCTCCTTCCTTTTCTTCCTCTTCCCTTCCTTCCTCCCCTTTTCTTTCCCTTCCTCTCCTTCTTTTGTTATCTTCCTCTCCCCTTCCTCTCCCCCTTTTCTTTCCCTTTTGCTTTCTCTCCGTCCTCTTCTTCTTCCCTTCCTTCCTTCCTTCCTTCCTTCCTTCCTTCCTTCCTTCCTTCCTTCTCTTTCTCTTCCCTTCCTTCTCCCCTTTTCTTTCTCTTCCTCTTTCTCCACTTTCTTCCTCTTCCCTTCCTCTTCCCTCCTTTTCTTTCACTTCCTCTCCTTCTTTTGTTCTCTTCCCTTCCTCTCTTTTCTTTCCCTTCCTCTTTCTCTCCTTCCTTCCTTCTCTTCCCTCCCTTTCCCTCCTTTTCTTTCCCTTCCTCTTTCTCTCTTTCCTTCCTTCTCTTCCCTCCCTTTCCCTCCTTTTCTTTCCCTTCCTCTTTCTCTCTTTCCTTCCTTCTCTTCCCTCCCTTTCCCTCCTTTTCTTTCCCTTCCTCTCTTCCTTCCTTTTCTTTCCCTTTTGCTTTCTCTCCTTTCTTCCTTCTCTACCTCCTTCCCTTTCTTCCTTCCTCTTTCTCTCCTTCCTTCTCTCTCCCTTCCTTTCCCCCCCCCCTTTCCTTTCTCTTTTGCTTTCTCTCCTTCCATCACATAGAAGGAGCCTCCATCACACTTGGCGGCAGAGAGTTCCACTGCTGAACCGCTCTCACAGTCAAATTCCTTACTCCAAAGTGTGGTGGAAGCTCCTTTAGTTGGAAAATATTATCGCATCACATATTCCAAGAGGTGAAATCCAGATCTAATTGGGTCCCTGTGTGTGTGTGTGTGTGGGGGGGGGGGGACTTCATGTGTGTGTTAAAATATCCTAAATGACACCTTTTGGGTATTGATACAACACGTGTGTTTTCCATCTAGGTAGAAAATGGTGCCGAGTACATCTTGGAAACCATTGACTCGCTGCAGAAACACTCCTGGGTGGCGGACATACAAGACTGCATAGATCCTGGGTAAGGGCGGCACTTTCGCCAGGTCTGCACACCTCATACTTAGGGGCTCATGTTTTGGTCTTCCATATATACGAGGGTTGAATGAAAAGTAATGCCTCCACCTTCGTAACTCCTCAACAGATGACATTACTGGTATGCGGCAGGTACTGGCTTGTTCAGTAGACTCTCTTCTACAGTTCCGTTTTGGTGGGAAGCCTTAGAATTGAACGGTTGTGTTGTTAAAGTGCGAAGGGGGATTTGGTTGATTCCCTGTGTGAAAACTGAACCGTTTTAGAAGCTGACAGGCAGAGAAGGGAGGAAGGGGGTTCCTCCCTTCTCTGCCTGTCAGCTTCTAAAACGGTTCCGTTTTCACACAGGGAATTGAGGCTGCTCCTGCGAGGGAAGCATTCCAGGTGCAAGCCGAGCCATGGGAAAAGGAGGAAGAGACACTTCTCAAGGCCAACGGAATGCTTTCATGCATTGCTGTCCTTAATTAGGGAAAGAATAGCTCTCAGGTCTCAACGTAACAAATTGCCTTGTTCCTGGTCATATCTCAGCTTTGAGCCAAATTTTCTAGTCAAGTTTTGCTACAATCTTGGGGATTTTAACATCGACTCAATCTCATGTTTTATTCCTTGTCTCTTAGATTAATCAAGCTCATGTTTCTTCCATGCACCTTGGATTAATGTTCATGCTTTAACCTTTGCATTGGAGATTATCTCTGGCTTTTGGGACTCTTTCTAGCTTTACATATTTGGAAATTTTACTCTTCTACTATGTGTGCTTTAACAATCAACTGTTTATTACTACGCTTGGCTTCCTGGCTTGAATGCTTGAGCAAGGTGAACTCTAGCTGAGGTGCAACAACTTTACACTTCACAATCTGTTTTTTTTTTCCTTCCTTCCTCCTTCCAGGGACAGTGGCGATGATATTGAACTCGCCTCTTGTACCCAGGGAGCCTGCCTGCCAAGCAGGGTGTCCTCCTGCAGCTGTGAGTTCCTCGCTGATGGTAAACAGGACTTTCACAAAATCTACATATATAAGTCTGTCTGTCTGTGTCTTTTTGATTGTCTGCATGTACAATGGAGGCTGTTGCTAGGCAAAGTGGCCCTCTGTGACATTACTAGATCGGCTATTCTAGGCGGAGGGTTGGCTGTTGCTAGGTGAAGTGTCCCTCTGTGATACTGTTGTGAGGAGGAGGAAGAACAGGAGGCTGAAGATGTAGGAATTGGGGATGTGGGGCCAATTGTTGAGGAGGAGGAGGAAGAGTGCAAGGAAAACATACTGCCGGTTCCTACGTTTCAGGAGTGCCAAAGGGCAAAGGAAGAAAGGCAGCTAGAATTGCTTCAATTGCTGAGCAGTTGGCCTAGAAACACTCGTGGTTGGAGCTGAGGGCTGTAAATCAGCAGTAAAGCGAGTGGTCAGGGCTGGCAGCAACCGTCCTACTCAGTGCTTCTGTGCTGCAGTTTCCTTGCTTTCAGCGCCAGCAAGTGCCTCGCAAAGACTTTTTACCAAAGACTCAGGTTTCATGTCTGATGTAAAACTTTTCCTTCTGTTCCATTGCTGTTGTTTGTTGGAGTATTATCATTTTGCTGAAATAAAGCAATTTTAGTTGCTTTTACCGTTGTTGTAAGGCTGTTTCTGGGCCAAAACAGAACATAGATCACTGGATTGGCTATTGCCAGGTGGAGTGGCCCTCTGTGATATCACTGAATTGCTCTTCCAGGTGGAGGGTTGGCTATTCCAGGACCACCCGGAATAAGTGAAAATCCGCAAAGTAGGGACACTATATTAATTTTAATATTTATACATTATTTTAGCTGATTTTCTTACTTGCACTTCCTTACCTGCCTCCGGAGCCTTCCTGCACACCAGCCTTCCTTTCTATATTAATATTTACAAAAAGTCTGCGTAAAGTGAACCACGAAGTAGCAAGGGAACACTGTATTGTATTTTAGATCTCCTCATTTGTAGTATCTGATTGGAACTGGGGATTTTGTGGGGGGGGGGGGGGGGGGCCGAACTTCAACAATGCAGTCTGGCACGGAGGCCAAGAGGGTCTAGATATAAAATCCTGCCTCTTTTCCAGATTTGTCCCGGTTTCCTGACCGATGTGCCGGTTCCGCAGCTCCGTCGGACGCCCCACTCAACGTGGCCACCGTCGTCACTGCACCGCACAGCCGGAGCAGAGACTCTGTGGGAGAACACAGAGCCCACGTGCCCCTCGAGAACTTCCTGCAGACCTTGGACTCGCCAGCCACCGGGGGACATGCGGCAGGTACCGTATCCCGTCCGACAAAATATACAAGGATTTGATTTTATTTATTTACAGTATTTATATTCCGCCCTTCTCACATGGCAAACATTCAATGCCATAGACACACAACATATTCAGGCAGACACTCAGAGGCTATTTAACATTCCAGCTTCTGGCCACCAGGGGAGCTGTTGCTTCACCGTCTATTTGTGACACTGATGAAGTACTTCCTCATTCTTTGTATACTTTCTGGAGATTTTTATGGCCTCGTAAATCAGTTAAATTAGCCTCCACACATAAGTGGTACCTAAATTTCCTACTAGACAGATGCAACTGTCTTTCGGGTTGCAAAGGTCGACAACAAGCTACACAATTTTGATCAGAAGCTCACTCCGACCCGGGCTGGCTTCGAACTCATGACCTTTCAGCCAGCTGCACCACAGTCCCAGTGATTCACAGGGTCAGAGAGGCATCTCTTTGTAGAAACGTCCGACTTAGAAATGACATCTAGTAAATGGGTGATCCGATGCCGAGACAACAGGAAGTGAGAGGAATCTTCCCTCAGAAGAGAGGGAAATCCACTCCTGGAATAGTTGCAGTGTTCCCTCACTTATCACGGGTGTTAAATTCCAGGACCACCTGCGATAAGTGAAATTCCGCAAAGTAGGGATGTCCCCTCCCTCGCCCTCTGTACCTTCCTGCAGCTTCTGCAGGCCTAGCAGTTCGAAAACCTTCAATGTGAGTAGATCAATAGGTACTGCTTCAATGGGAAGGTAACAGCACTCCTGTCCTGATCTGCAGTTTTCTAGAGAGGGAATTACCTCACAGACAGGCTGGAAAGGCTTTATTTCTCAAAGCATACAGTACGGTTACAAGCAAAGTTCCATCTGACAGTTGGAAATTACCTCAAGGTTGAAATTACCTCACAGACAGGCTGGAAAGGCTTTGTTTCTCAAAACATACAGTACGGTTACAAGCAACGTTCCATCTGACAGTTGGAAATTACCTCAAGGTTGAAATTACCTCACAGACAGGCTGGAAAGGCTTTGTTTCTCAAAGCATACAGTACAGTTATAAGCAACGTTCCATCTGACAGTTGGAAATTACCTCAAGGTTGAAATTACCTCAGACAGGCTGGAAATGCTTTGTTTGTCAAAGCATACAGTATGGTTACAAGCAACGTTCCATCTGACAGTTGGAAATTACCTCAGGGTTGAAATTACCTCACAGACAGGCTGGAAAGGCTTTGTTTCTCAAAGCGTACAGTACGGTTACAAGCAAAGTTCCATCTGACAGTTAGAAATTACCTCAAGATTGAAATTACCTCACAGACAGGCTGGAAAGGCTTTATTTCTCAAAGCATACAGTACGGTTATTGTGGGATCGAATTGTGCCCATTTTGTAAACCGCCCTGACTCACCCTCGGGCTGAGAAGGGTGGTATAGAAATATAGTAAATAAATATAGAAATATAGTAAATAAAAGTTCCATCTGACAGTTGGCTTCCTTCTCTCCTCATATCCCTCACTTTGACCCTCCCCTTCAAGTGAGCTACAGGCCAAGGCATGGCCTACTTTCATGGTTCCCCATAACACCAGGAAAGGAGGTCATGACAACTCCAGGCAGTCATGCTGGCCACGTGACTTTAGAGGTGTCTGTGGACAAGGCCAGCTCTTTGGCTTTCTGAATTCTGCACCGCTCAAGAGTGCACTGGCCTGCAGGATTGGGAGTGGGTCCTAATACGGGTATTGTTACAGGAGAGGAAAGCGAGACGGAAGCGGAGCTCAACCTCTCGGACTTCCCTTGGTTCCACGGGACGCTCTCGCGGGTCAAAGCGGCTCAGCTGGTGCTGTTTGGCGGAGCCAGGAGCCACGGGCTGTTTGTCATTCGGCAGAGCGAGACACGGCCTGGCGAATATGTGCTGACCTTCAATTTCCAGGGGAAAGCCAAGGTAAGTGGAAGTCCTTGTTCTACTCCAGAAACTTTGTTTTTGTGGCTGCCGCAAACTGAGTTGAATTGGTTAGTGAGAAAGCTATCGCCAAATGCGCTCCCTCCCGCAGAAAGGTTTTGGCAGTTTAATAAAGTTTCCCCATGTTTTTATGGAAAAATAAATGAAATAAATAAATTAGGAAATTTATTTATTTTATTTATTGGCAGTATTTATGTTCCGCAGATCACAATGCACACGTACATGGCAAAAATTCAATGCCATTTTAGACATACAACATATATAGACAGACACAGAGGCAATTTAACATTCCAGCTTTTCCGGCTTCATGAGAGTATGCTCGGTTCCGGCCACAGGGGGAGCTGCTGCTTCACTGGAGTACTTCCTCATTCTCCTGCATGCTGCCGGAAGGTTTTATGGCATCATAAATGAGTTAAATTAGCCTCCCTGCATAAAAGGTACCTAAATTTCCTACTTGACAGATGCAACTGTCCTTCGGGCTGCAGAGGTCGACAGTAAGCTAGACTAATGGCCGGAAGCTCTCTCCGACTCGGGCTGGCTTCAAACTCATGTAGTGATTTAATGCAGTTCAATCAACTTTTCCCATATTTTTGTGATAGAAGCCATTTGAAAATGACATTTAAAACCCAGAAACAAAAATCATGTTACATAGAAACAAAAATCATCCATGGTTCATCCTCCCCCTGGTTGTAAAGTGGGTCATGGGGGCTCAGTGTGCCAAGTTTGTTCTTGATCCGTCACTGATGTGGTCACAGTGGTCTCCAGAAGTACGTGAAGCTACTGCAAATCCCATCATCCATGGTTCATCCACCCTGTAATTGCACCAGGGTGTAAAGTGGGTCATAGGGGCTCTGTGTGCCAAGTTTGTTCTTGATCCGTCATTGGTGTGGGTCGCAGTGGTCTCCAGAAATAAGTGGAGCTACAGCAAATCCCATCATCCATGGTTCATCCTCCCCCTAATTGCACCAGGGTGTAAAGTGGGTCAACTTTGTTCTTGATCCGTCATTGTTATGGGTCCCAGTGGTCTCCAGAAGTAAGTGAAGGTACTGCAAATCCCATCATCCATGGTTCATCCTCCCCCTAATTGCACCAGGGTGTAAAGTGGGTCATGACGACTTTGTTTGCCAAGTTTGTTCTTGATCCGTCATTGTTATGGGTCACAGTGGTCTGTGGGAGCCGAAGCGATTGAAAGAACTGCAAATCCCATCATCCGTGGTCCATCCTCCTCTAATCTGTGCCAGGATATAAAGTGGGTCAGAGGGTTCTGTGCCTTGGGATGTCGAACTCTCATTCCATGCCCCCGTGTGCATTGTTTTCCAGCACCTGCGCCTCTCCTTGAACGAGAACGGCCAATGCCACGTCCAACACCTTTGGTTCCAGACCATCTTTGATATGCTGAGGCATTTCCACATGCATCCCATCCCTCTGGAGTCCGGAGGCTCTGCCGACATCACGCTGCGCAGCTACGTTGTGGCGCAGGGTCCGTTGCCCGGTAGGTTTCACTCAACTTCTTGCCATTTCACTTTCTGTTCCTGGTTTGAAAGGGTTGGTTCCTGTTTAATGGTGTGGTCCTGACTTTGCAAGTTGTTGTTCTCCTCCTGTTGTTCTTGTTGCTGAATTGACTCGATGACGAGAGATTCATTGAAAAACTAGAGCAAAATGTGCTATTATTACATTTATTCCTCCTGGAAAAACAAAGTTGTGGCAGTTTAATAAACTTTGACCATATTTTTATGAACCAATGAGGAAATGACATTGATAACCCAGAAACAAAAATCATAGTGTCACATATTGGCATTATTATTATTATTATTATTATTATTATTATTTTACTGACACGAAAACACAGTATGTCACAGCAAACGAGATATATATGCTAGATTTCGTATCACAAAATCATCATCATTATTATTATTATTATTATTATTATTTTACTGACACAAAAACACAGTATGTCACAGCAAACAAGATATATATGCTGGATTTCATATCATAAAATCACAATTATTATTATTATTATTATTTTACTGACACAAAAACATAGTTTGTCACAGCAAACGAGATATATATGCTAGATTTCATATCACAAAATCATTATTATTATTATTATTATTATTATTATTATTATTATTATTATTTTACTGACACAAGACCACAGCATGTCGCAGCAAACGGGATATATATGCTGGATTTCATATCACAAAATCATTATTATTATTATTATTATTATTATTATTATTATTATTATTATTTTACTGACACAAAAACATAGTTTGTCACAGCAAACGAGATATATATGCTAGATTTCATATCACAAAATCATTATTATTATTATTATTATTATTATTATTATTATTATTATTATTTTACTGACACAAGACCACAGCATGTCGCAGCAAACGGGATGTATATGCTGGATTTCATATCACAAAATCATTATTATTATTATTATTATTATTATTATTATTATTTTACTGACAGAAAAACACAGTATGTCACAGCAAACGGGATGTATATGCTGGAGTTCATATCACAAAATCACTATTATTATTAATATTATTATTATTATTATTACCCCACTCTTTCTCTCCACAAGGAGACTCAAAGTGGCTATGTATCTGTTATTAGAAGGTATTATTATTATTATGATTACCATATCTACTTCAGCAAAAACTGAAATTTTCAGCCCTTTTTTTAGGCTGAAAAAGCCCCCTTTGGCATATACTTGAATCAAAATTATTTATTATTTTACTCTATTATTATTATTATTATTATTATTATTATTTTATTGTTATTATTATTACATTTATTATTTTACTCTATTATTATTAAATAAATGATAAATTATTTTACTCTATTATTATTATTATGACATTTATTATTTTACTGTATTTTTATTATTACATTTCCATTATTTTACTCTATTATTATTATTTGAAACACAGCAAGATGAGTCCACAGCAGACAAGATCATTCTGCTGGCTGTTGTATTGGATCACACGTTGGACACTTCCCAAGTGTCTCGGACTGTGCAATGTATCGGCGAATAATGCGTGCAGATCCTAGTAAGGTGGCCTTTTGCAGCCGGCAGATGGTCATTTTGTCAGCACCGATTGTGTTTAAGTGCAGGCCAAGGTCTTTAGGCACTGCACCCAGTGTGCCAATCACCACTGGGACCACCTTGACTGGCTTGTGCCAGAGTCTTTGCATTTCGATCTTTAAATCCTCATATAGTGTCAGCTTTTCCAGTTGTTTCTCTTCAATCCTGCTGTCACCTGGGATTGCGACATCCACAATCCATACTTTGTTTTTCCCCACGATCATGAGGTCAGGAGTCTTGTGCTCCAAAACTCTGAATCCAGAAGTCCCAGAGTAGCTTGATGTGTTCATTTTCTGTAACTTTTTCAGACTTGTGATTCCACCAGTTCTTTGTCCCAGGCAGATGGTGTTTGTGGCGCAAGTTCCAATGAATCATCTGAACGATGGTGTTGTGCCTCTGCTTGTAGTCTGTCTGCAATCTTCTTGCAGCAGCTGAGGATGGGATCTATTGTTTCATCTGCTTCCTTGCAGAGTCGACATTTGGGATCTGTCGTTGACTTTTCAATTCTGGCTTGGATGGCCTTGGTTGTAATGGCTTGTTCTTGGGCTGCCAGAATCAGGCCCTCCTTTGTCTCCTTTTTCAAAGTTCCATTTGTAAGCCACAGCCATGTTTTTTTCTTTTTCAATTTGGCTCTCAATAGGGTTGTTGTAGGTTTTTCGGGCTATATGGCCATGTTCTAGAAGCATTCTCTCCTGACGTTTTGCCTGCATCAATGGCCAGCATCCTCAGAGTTTGTGAGGACCTCACTACCTCTGAGGATGCTGGCCATAGATGCAGGCAAAACGTCAGGAGAGAATGCTTCTAGAACATGGCCATATAGTCCAAAAAACCTACAACAACCAGTGATTCCAGCCATGAAAGCCTTCGATAATACGTTCTCTCTCAATTTTTCCCAGGAACTGTCTATGAAGAGCCTTCTTTCGCTAGTTTTCTCTTCTGCTCTAGATTGTGTTTATTATTTATGATGACGATGATTATTTAGGAAGATGATTATTATTATTATTTATGGTGATGATTATTATTATTTATGGTGATAATTATTATTTATGATCTTTATTATTATTTATGATTATTATTTATGATGGTTGTTATTATTTATGATCTTTATTATTATTTATAATGATTATTATTTATGATGATGATAATGATTATTTCGGATGGTAATTATTATTTATGATTATTATTATTTATGATGATGATGATTATTATTATTTATGATGATTATTATTTATGATTTTTATTATTATTTATGATTATTATTATTTCAGATGGTAATTATTATTTATGATGATGATTATTATTTCGGATGGTAATTATTATTTATGATTATGATGATTTATGATGATTATTATTTATGATTTTTTTATTTATGATTATTATTTCAGATGGTAATTATTATTTATGATGATTATTATTATTATTTCAGATAGTAATTATTATTTATGATGATTATTTATGATGATTATTATTTATGATGATTATTATTTATTAATATTATTATTTATTAATATTATTTATTAATATTGTTATTTATGATGATTATTATTATTTATGATGATTATTATTTATGATGATGATTATTATTATTTATGATGATTATTATTTATGATTATTATTATTTATGGTAATTATTATTTATGGTAATTATTATTTATGAGGATGATGATTTATTTTTATTATTTATGATGGTGATTATTTATGATCTTGATTATTATTTATGATGATTATTTATGATGATTATTTATGATGATTATTATTTGATTGTTATTATTATTTGATTATTATTATTTATGATTATTATTATTTATGATTTTTATTATTATTTATCATTATTATTTATGATGGTGATGATGATGATTATGATGATGATGATGATTATTATTATTATTATGTGCTTGGTGTGACCGTTCTGCCCCTTCTCTCCCATTCCAGACGCGAGTCCCGCCTCGGCGGTCGCTTCCCAGCCGCCCACGTGCCGGAGTGACCTCCAGTCCCAGCACTACTTCTCCAGCTTCGTCCCGGTCACCTTCCAGCCGGCCTCCCCTTCGGAAGGCACCGCCTCCTCCTCCTCTTCCTCCTCCGCCAGCCATTCGCTCTACCATCGCATGGACGGCACCCTCGGCGGCGCCCGGAGCCGGAGCAACAGCACCGAGCGCCTCTTTGCTTCCTCCGCCTCGGGAGCGGAGGACTACCACGAGAGCGAGAGTGCGCGGAGCAGAACCCGAGCCGTGGAGAACCAGTATTCGTTCTATTGACGGCACTGTTGGGGGGTCGCGGCGGTCAGTCCCCGCTTCCCCAGCACTCCTGGCGTCCGAATGCGTGAGCGTGTGCGGCACCCGCATCTCTTCCTCCCTGTTCCAAGCATCCCGGCCGGAGAGGATGCCACAACACACACAACGGTTACCTCTTTCTTACACTGTGTAACAAAATTCGCAAAAGTGTTCTGTTCCTGGTTTGAAAGTGTTATTTCCTGTTTAATTGTGCAATCCTGAGTTTGAAAGCAGAAACTTGGGTGTTTTTTTGTTTGTTTGTTTTTGTGGCTGCCGCAAACTAAGTGGAATTGGTCGAGAAAGCTATTGCCAAATGTGCAATAGCGGGATGATAATGATGTCCCTCCCACAGAAAAGACGTTTTGGCCGTTTTAATAAACTTTCCCCGTGTTTTTTATGATGATAGAACCAATTAGGAAATGTATTTATTTTATTTATTGGCAGTATTTATATTCCGCAGATCACAATGCACATGTACATGGCAAACGTTCAATGGCATTTTAAACATGTGACATATGAGGCAATTTAACATTCCAGCTTTTCCGGCCTCGTGAGGGTAGGCTCCTTTCCGGCCACAGGGGGAGCCGCCACTTGTGACACCGAGTCCTATGATGGAGTACTTCCTCATTCTTCTGCACGCTGCTGGAAGGTTTTATGGCATCGTAAATGAGCCTAAAGCGGTACCTAAATTTCCAACTGTCTTTCGGGCTGCAAAGGTCGACAGCAAGCTAGACTAATGGCTGGAAGCTCACTTCAAATTCATCACCTCTCCGTCTGTAGTGATGTAATGCAGCTGCGCCACAGCCCGGTCCTGCAAAATGGCATTTATTATAACCCAGGAAGAAAACCCATAGTGTGACATATGAGTAGAAAGAAGACAGAACCAGAATGTCCGTGTCTCCGTTTGTCTTCACCTCAATGTTCTCCTTCAGTTCAATTCAGGAAGGAGATGTCTCGAGATGGGAGGTGTGTCGGCAAATCTTTTCAAGACTTCAGATTGCAAAAGAAAAGAATGACGATCCTCTGGAGATGGCAGCCACTGATGGAGGCGAAATGTCAGGAGCAAATGCTGCTAGAACATGGCTTGGAAAAAGCACACAACACTCCCAACTCTCTCTTTGGTCCCGAGCGTCCCTGTAAATAGGTATGAATGTAGAGGTTCTTGAAATTCGTTGTGCCATCTCCTCCTCCCAAGTCCTGAAGTGATGGGTGCTTCACCTTGAGTCAAAGCAAGACTAGGGCACAAAGCTGTGGGTTTTCCAGGCTGTCTGGCCATGTTCCAGAAGCATTCTCTCCTGACGTTTCGCCTGCATCTATGGCAGGCATCCTCAGAGGTTGTGAGGTCTGTTGGAAACTAAGCAAGTGAGGTTTATATATCTGTGGAATGATGTCCAGGGAGGGAGGCAAGTGCCAATGTTGCAATTGACTGCCTTGATTAGCATTGCATAGCCTTGCAGCTTCAAAGCCCGGCTGATTCCTGCCTGGGGGAATCCTTTGTTGGGAGGTGTTAGATGGCCCTGATTGTTTCCTGTCTGGAATTCCCCTGTTTTCTGAGTGTTCCTCCCCAAGTCCCTTCGGGGAGAGGGTGCCACAATATAAATAAAGTTTGTATTTTCGAAGACTTTCATGGCCGGAATCACTGGGTTGTTGTCGTTTGTTTCGGGCTGTATGGCCATGTTCTAGAGGCATTCTCTCCTGACGTTTTGCCTGCATCTATGGCAAGCATCCTCAGAGCTTGTGAGGCCTGGGGACATCCTTTGTTGGGATGGTAATCAAGGTGATCAATAGCAACATTCCCACTTGCCTCCAACAGACAAGAGTTCTTTCTCCTACCCTGGACATTGTTCTATATATATATATATATAAACCATCTCCAATTCCTGTCTGCTCTCTGCCTGGGGACATCCTTTGTTGGGATGGTAATCAAGCTGGACAATGGCAACATTCACACCTCCCTCCAACAGACAAGAGTTCTTTCTCCCACCCTGAACATTGTTCCACAGATATATAAACCAGCTTCAGTGCCTGGCTGCTCTCTGTCTGGGGGCATCCTTTGTTGGGATGGTAATCAAGCTGGCCAATGGCAACAATCACACCTCCTTCCAACAGAGAAGAGTTCTTTCTCCCACCCTGGACATCATTCTACAGATATATAAACATTGCTTGCCTTGTTCCACAGATATATAAACCAGCTCCAATTCTTGGCTGCTCTCTGCCTGGGGGCATCCTTTGTTCGGATGGTAATCAAGGTGGCCAATAGCAACATTCCCACTTGCCTCCAACAGACAAGAGTTCTTTCTCCTACTCTGGACATCATTCCATAGATATATAAACCAGCTCCAGTGCCTGGCTGCGCTCTGCCTGGGGGCATCCTTTGTTGGGATGGTAATCAAGCTATACAATAGCAACATTCTCACTTGCCTCCAACAGACAAGAGTTCTTTCTCCCACCCTGGACATCATTCTACAGTTCTACAGCCTAGTTTCCAACAGACCTCACAACCTCTGAGGATGCCTGCCATAGGTGTGGGAGAAACGTCAGGAGAGAATGCTTCTGCAACATGGCCAGGCAGTTCGGAAAACTCACAGCAACCCATTTGAAAAAAATGTGTGTTCCTGGTTTGAACGTGTTATTTCCTGTTTGGTTGTGCGGTCCTGACTTTGAAAGAGTTGCTCTGCAGAAAGTTCCTTTTTTTGTGCCAAAACTAGGTTGAATTGGTTGAGATTCTGTTATGAGATATTCACTGAAAAACTAGAGCAAAATAATGTGCTATAGCAGGACGTCCCTCCCTCCCTCCCTCCCACAAAACAAACAAACAACAACAACAACAAGCTTTTGGCAGGTTTTCCCATGCAACGACCATGATGGCAAACTGGAAATTGACTTCGGCGCCAATATGAACAACAAAGCGGTAAAAACGCAGACTGAAAAGGAGCGACAGAGTGAAAACTTCATTTGTAAATATGTTTTGTTTTGTTTTTCCAGTGTGAAAAATTACAAATGTTTCCGTATTATTCTATTTACAAAACAAACCTTTTAAAGAACTGAAGTGGGGAGGGGGGAAGAATGGCGTCCTTTCGTTTTTATTCTATTTCATACTTTTTTTTTTAGGTCGGGAGGATGAGAAATAAAAGAAGTCCTGAATTAACGAGCGCACAGAAATGCTGTTTTCCCCCAGCAACGCAGACAAGATATAAATGCAGGATTTCCCCATTAGAGTTCACTCAAAAGTGGAGGCATTACTTCTCATTCAACCCTCGTATAAGAGTGGCTACTCTTATATAAGGGTTGAATGAGAAGTAATGCTTCAACTTTTGTTAGTTGGGTTTGGATGGGAACATTTTAATAAATCAAACGCAGAAATAAAGAAAAAAAGGGAAGGAAGGAGAGAAAGAAAGAAGAGAAAGAGGGAGGGAAGGTTGTCCACAGCAACGCGTGGTGGGTACAGCTTTTATCTATATAAATAAAAAGGGGGCATCCTTTGTTGGAATGGTAATCAAGGTGGCCAATAGCAACATTCCCACTTGACTCCAGACAAGAGTTCGTTTGTGGGATTAACAGAACTCGAAAACCAGTGGGTGAATTGACACCAAATGTGGACCGCATACACCTAACAACCCAATGTATGTAGCATTTAATATCAATATTCATTTCATATCTCTATATATAAAAATGTTCTGTGCAAAAGAACCAATGAACGAAATCACACAAAATTTGGCAACAAAACGTCTCACAACACAAGGAGTGACCATCACTCCAAAAATTATGATTTTGTCATTTGGGAGTTGTAGTTGCTGGGATTTATAGTTCATCTACAATCAAAGAGCATTCTGAATTCCACCAATGATGGAATTGAACCAAACTTGGCACACAGAACTCCCATGACCAACAGAAAATACTGGAAGGGTTTGGTGGGCATTGACCTTGAGTTTTGGAGTTGTAGTTCACCTACATCCAGAGAGCACTGTGGACTCAATCAATGATGGATCTGGACCAAACTTGCCACAAATACTCAATATGCCCAAATGTGAACACAGTGGAGTTTGGGGAAATAGACCTTGACATTTGGGAGTGTAGTTACTGGGATTTATAGTTCACCTACAATCAAAGAGTATTCTGAACCCCACAAATGACAGAATTGGGACAAACTTCCCACCATGACCAACAGAAAACACTAGAAGGGTTGGTGGGCATTGACCTTGAGTTTGGGAGTTGTAATTCACCTACATCCAGAGAGCACTGTGGACTCAAACAATGATGGATCTGGACCAAACTTGGCACGAATATTCCATATGCCCAAATATGAACACAGATGGAGTTTAAAGGAAATAGACCTTGACATTTCGGAGTTGTAGTTGCTGGGATTTATAGTTCACCTACAATCAAAGAGCATTCTGAACTCCACCAATGATGGAATTGAACCAAACATGGCATACAGGACTTCCATGACCAACAGAACACACTGGAAGGGTTTGGTGGGCATTGACCTTGAGTTTGGGAGTTGTAGTTACCTACATCCAGAGAGCACTGTGGACTCAAACAATGATGGATCTGGACCAAACTTGTCACAAATATTCCATATGCCAAAATACGAACACTGGTAGAGTTTTGGGAAAGTAGACCTTGATATTTGGGAATTGTAGTTGCGTGGATTTATAGTTCATCTACAATCAAAGGGCATTCTGAACCCCACCAGTGATAGAATTGGGCCAACCTTGGCGCAAAGAACCCCAATAGAAAATACTTAAGGCCATCCAGTCCAACTCCTTTCACCAGGGCAAGAAAACGTAATCAAATACTGTTTACCCACAAGCAGAAAGAAATTACATATATCAGAAACCAACACTTTCTCATTACTTTATTTTCCAGATCACCAGACTGGGCCACAGCAACGCGTGGCAGGGGACGGCTAGTATATATGTATGTGTATGTATATGTGTGTATATATATATGCACACACGCAGATAGAGGGAGAGAGAGTCCATTTACAGTGGCTGAAGACTAGAATACTTCTCCAGCCTTCTTTTCCTGATACTTCCAGATAACTGGAGACTTCTGACTTGCAGCAGGCTGGTTTTGTAGTCCCAATTCTTCTTGATCCTCCAACCTTAAGTCTCCTCAGAATTCCAACCTTACAACTCCTTGTAATTACACAAATGCTAGCCAGGTGGTTTGGCTCTTACTGCTTGTAAAGGTAAAGGGTTTCGCCTGACATTAAGTATAGTCGAGTCCGACTCTGGTGCTCATCTCCATTTCTAAGCTGAAGAGCCGGCGTTGTCCATAGACACCTCCAAGGTCATATGGCCATGGGCATGACTGCATGGAGCACTGTTACCTTTCTGCCTGAGCTGTACCTATTCATCTACTCACATTTGCATATTTCTGAACTAGGTTGGTAGAAGCTGGGGCTAACAGTGGGAGCTCACCCCCACTCCCTGGATTCAAACTGCTAACCTTTTGGTCAGCAAGTTCAGCAGCTCAGTGGTTGAACCCGCTGCACCACCATGGCCTCCTTACACTACTTGTTACTTAAGAAATGATTAAAAACTCTTAATAATAATACTTTATTTATACCCCGCCTCCATCTCCCCCCAGGGGACTCGGGGCAGCTTACATAAGGCCATTCCCATCAATGCAGTAAAAAAAAAATATATAGACACAAAAACACAACAAAAAAATCAGAAAATAAATTATATAAGATGCAAAACCAATATAAGTATACGACACAGCAGCATAAAATTAAACAGATGATCACACTGGGCAGGGCCAAATTCAAGGATAATATTTTAAAATATTGGGAGATAGGACAATGTAAAAACCAGGTAGGAGATCCGAGGATGAGGTAGGATTTAATTGCACGAACCATAAAATAAAGTGCTTCTGAGGCCATTTTATGCAGAGTTTGGTCAGGGAGTATCTTACATTCACTCATTGAAGGCACATGGGAATAACCAAGTTTTCAGGCTCCTCCTGAAGATTGCCAGGGTGGGGGCTTGCCTAGTATCTCTGGGGAGCAAATTCCAGAGCCGGGGGGCCACCACAGAGAAGGCCCTCTCTTTCGTCCCCATAAGTCGCGCTTGTGATGAGGGCGGGAGCGAGAGAAGAGCCTCTCCGGAAGATCGAAGAAGTCGTGTGGGTTCGTGGACGGAAATGTGGTTGCACAGGTAGGTGGGTCCCAAACCGTTCAGGGCTTTGTAGGTCAAGACCTGCACCTTGAATTGGGTCTGGAAAATAAACGGCAGCCAACTGAGCTCCTTAAACAGGAGGGTTGACCACTCTCTGTAACTCGCACCAGTTAGTAACAACAAAGATATGTACACTCAGACACACACACACATATGCAAAACTTACCAATAAACCAGCTCCTTGACTTTTTCCAGTGTTACGTCTCATGCTAACTGAAGATGATGGGACTTGTAGGCCAATACGTCCAGAGAAGATTCCAAGTTGGAGGAAGCTAAAGTGAGAAACTATTTTTGAAAATTACAAAAGTATTCAAGGCAAGGAACTGGGGAAGTATAGAGTTCCCTCAGTTATGGCGGGCGTTAAGTTCCAGGATCACCCGCAAATAGTGTAAATCTGCGAAGTAGGAATTATATATGTGTGTGTGTGTGTGTGTGTGTAATGTTCAATATATTGTTGAAGGCTTTCATGGCCGGAATCACTGGGTTGTGGTAGGTTTTCCGGGCTATATGGCCATGTTCTAGAGGCATTTTCTCCTGATGTTTCGCCTGCATCTGTGGCAAGCATCCTCAGAGGCATCCTCACTACCTCTGAGGATGCTTGCCATAGATGCAGGCGAAACGCCAGGAGAAAATGCCTCTAGAACATGGCCATATAGCCCGGAAAACCTACAACTCAAATGTAATGTTCGTTTGTGGGATTAACATAACTCAAAAACCACTGGACGAATTGACACCAAACTTGGACAGCATACACCTAACAACCAATTTATGTCCTTCACTCAAAAAACTTTGATTTTGTCATTTGGGAGTTGTAGTTGCTGGGATTTATAGTTCACCTACAATCAAAGAGCATTCTGAACTCCACCAACGATGGAATTGAACCAAACTTGGCATACAGGACTCCCATGACCAACAGAAAACACTAGAAGGGTTTGGTGGGCATTGACCTTGAGTTTGGGAGTTGTAGTTCACCTACATCCAGAGAGCACTGTGGACTCAAACAATGATGGATCTGGACCAAACTTGGCACAAATGTTCCATATGCCCAAATATGGACACAGATGGAGTTTGGGGGACATTGACATTTGGGAGTTGTAGTTACTGGGATTTATAGTTCACCTACAATCAGAGCATTCTGAACCCCACCGACAGAATTGGGGCAAACTTCCCACACAGAACCCCTATACTTAATGCCATCCAGCCCAACTCCCTTCACCAGGGCAAGAAAACGTAATCAAAGCCCTCCTGACAAAGAACCATCCAGCCATAGATTAGATAGATATTGTGCTAGAAATGATTCACACACACAGAGATATAATATAGATTTGAAAGGGACCCCTAAAGAAGGACAATTTCCATGTTGCATGTTCCATCCAGAGCAGGGAAACCAGACAATCTCCACATCAACACTGACATAGAAACAGCAAGAAATACTGTTGGCCCAAGACATTACATACATTAGAAACCAACACTTTCTCATTACTTGATTTTCCAGGTCACCAGACTGGGCCACAGCAACACATGGCAGCTGGTATATATTATATATATATATATATATATATATATATATTCACAAACACACACACACACACACACACAATTTCTTATCAATAAGTAGCGTCTCAAGTCATACTTTTTGGTGTGTATTCATCCACTGACACCCTTTTCTTTTTAGGGAGCTTGATGTCTCTCCCGCCTTTCTTTTCCTGCACCGAGTTGGCATCGTAACATCACACGGATACCCCCTCCTCTCTCCTGACCCACTTGCCATTCACCCTGCTAGACCTGTCCATCATCCTTCCCTTCCTTCTCCCGTCTGCAGGGGAGAGTGAGGAAGAGGAGGAGGAGGAGCTGGGCGAGTGGGGCGCCTGCAGGAGGCGGCTTCCCAGGCTGGCATCTCCCACGATTTGCGTGGCAAGGAGGGGCGCAGCTCCAGTGTAAATATATATATTACTGTATTTATTGAAAAATCGCAAAACAGCAACTCCGCAGGAAGTGAACCGCGAAGTAGCGACGGAAGACTGCACACGCAAACTGCATCCACGGTATTTAATTGGGATAATATAGTTACAGATAAACAGATTCACTCCATATACAGTTACTCAGACTTCTTTTTTTTATACAGTTCATATCCCAATACATTAATTTGTTTTAATTATTATTTACACAGTACGTATGTACAGGGTCTTTCTAAATTCAGTGCAATGTCAATAAGTTTTATACAATAATTTACAAAGCTGAATGTGGTTAACAAGTTAAATTAATAATAATAATAACAATAATAAAGTTTCCGGTGAAGATTTAGGAATTAATTTAAATTTGTTTTTCTGTTCTTTAAAAAAATAATAATAATTACAACCGAGGTATAACAAAAGCCCGACAAAGGAGAACGACGTTAGTAGATTGTGCTAGATGCTGAAACAGAAACCGCGAGAAAGAAGAGGAAGGAGGTGCGCAAAAGAACGCCGCACCAAGGGATACGGAGGGAATGATCTTAAATGGAGATACAAGAATTGACGATGTTGGGGAAACGAGAGAGAAAGGCATTACGGGAAGTATTCTCTCTCTCAATAAAGGGCAAGGGATTGAGGTTGCCTGGTCGCTCACTGTTTTGGCAAAGTTTACAAATGGGTGATTACGGGACCAAAAATGTGACGCTCGGCACATGAACGAGGGTCAAATTTAGCTTCTGAAAGAGACATCTTTTGCCAATCCATCGCTACAACTTCATGGGACACCAGGACTGGACCGATCTTCCACAACGGATCTCAAAATCTTGATATTTCATCCTACAATTCCTTTACAACGGGTCCAAAAACATGGCTGAGAGTTGCACCATCCCGTCTTGCCATCCACGTTAGTGTCTGACCACTTTGGTTGAGATGTATGTCATTTTGGACAGGATATTAAATCCTTTGAAAAATGGCTGACCTTTGCGCACTACAAATCCCATCATCTCTCACTATTGGCAATGCTCTCTGAGGGTGAGGAGAGTGGCAGTCCAAAAGGTTCCCAGGTATCCATTGCGTTCACATGCCCAAGAATTTGAGCCTTAAGAATTTAGCAAGAAAAGAGCATTTGTTTGCAGTTTTCCAACACAACGCACCATTTGGCCATAATTTGGAGTTACAACCTATAGTATCTTTATCAATGGCTGGGAGGGAACAAGGGAATTGGGCATAACCAAACTAGGGATTTAGTCCCAAACACTTCCAACAGAAGCATTTGGAGGCGTAATTTCAAAACAGGTTGCTATGCTAATATGAAGTGAAAGGTCTTAGAGAAGAATCTGGAGAGGGATCCCACCCTCTTCTCTTTGGAACATTACTAGAAACAACACCATTTTCATACATACCGTTCTATTTTGGCTTCCTAACCTCACCTGGGGTTGGTTACGCCTGGGAAGAAACCCACCAGCTCCAAAGTTATTATGGCTTTCAAAGCGGTGGTACGTGAAGCTTGGTGAGCTGGGACACATTTCTCATTTTCAGAGAAACGTCAAGAATAACTCCTCCGAGTTATTACTTCCCTTCCACTTCCATAAGCTGCTCCAAGGAGACGACACTTCCTCCAAGCCAATCTAGAACATAAAGTCTGCAATCTGAGACAACACAGATTCGAGCCAATTTCTGTCCTAAATACGAACCAAATTGACTGCCAATACCTCCAAGTAGCGATGGTGTCGGTGAACTGTTTAGGGAAGTGGTTCTCAACTTGTGGGTCTCTCAGCGTTTTGTCCTACAACTCCCAGAAATCCCAGCCAGTTTATCAGGAGACCCACTGGTTGAGATCCACTGCAATAGATAGATGGATGATAGAGTGATACACCTAAGAGAGGTCTACCTTCATGTCCTGATATAGGTAGATGATAGAGTGATAGACCTAGGACCCACCGGTTGAGATCCACTGCAATAGATAGAAAGATAGATAGACAGATGATAGACCTAAGAGAGGCCTACTTTCATATCCTGATATAGATAGATGATAGTGCTAGTCCTAGGACCCACCGGTTGAGATCCGCTGCAATAGATAGAAATATGGATGATAGAGTGATAGACCTAAGAGATGCCTACCTTCATGTCCTGATATAGATGGATGATAGAGTGATAGACCTAAGAGATGCCTACCTTCATGTCCTGATATAGATGGATGATAGAGTGATAGACCTAGGACCCACGGGTTGAGATCCACTGCAATAGACAGAAAGATGGATGATAGAGTGATAGACCTAAGAGAGGCTTCATGCCCTGATAGATACAGATAGATGATAGAGTGATAGACCTAGGACCCACCAGTTGAGATTCGGTGCAATAGATAGATGGATGATATAGACCTAAGCAAGGCCTACCTTCATGTCCTGATTGATAGATGATAGAGTGATAGACCTAGGACCCACCGGTTAAGATCAACCGCAATAGATAGATAGATGGATGATAGAGTGATAGACCTAAGGGAGGCCTACCTTCATGTCCTGATAGATGGTTGAGTGATACCGGTTGAGATCCGCTGCAATAGATAGATGGATGATAGAGTGATAGACCTAAGGGAGGCCTACATGTCCTGATAGATATAGATAGTAGAGTGATAGACCTAGGACCCACCAGTTGAGATCCACTGAAATAGATAGATAGATGGATGACAGAGTGATAGACCTAAGAGAGGCCTACCTTCATGTCCTGATATAGATAGATGATAGAGTGATACCGGTTGAGATCCGCTGCGATAGAAAGATGGATGATAGAGTGATGGACCTAAGAGAGGCCTACCTTCATGTCCTGATAGATATAGATAGATGGTAGAGTGATAGACCTAAGACCCACTGGTTGAGATCCACTGCAATAGATAGAAAGATGTAAGATAGAGTGATAGACCTAAGAAAGTCCTACCTTCATGTCCTGATAGTTAGATGACAGAGTGATAGACCTAGGACCCAGCGGTTGAGATCCACTGCGATTGGTCTATCACTCTATCATCTATCTATATCTAGAAGGACATGAAGGTAGGCATCTCTTAGGTCTATTGTCCATCTATCTAAGAGAGGCCTACCTTCATGTCCTAATAGTTAGAGGGATAGACCTAGGACCCACCAGTTGAGATCCACTGCGATTGGTCTATCACTCTATCATCTATATCTAGAAGGACATGAAGGTAGGCATCTCTTAGGTCTATCGTCCATCTATCTAAGAGAGGCCTACCTTCATGTCCTAATAGTTAGAGGGATAGACCTAGGACCCACCAGTTGAGATCCACTGCGATTGGTCTATCACTCTATCATCTATATCTAGAAGGACATGAAGGTAGGCATCTCTTAGGTCTATCGTCCATCTATCTAAGAGAGGCCTACCTTCATGTCCTAATAGTTAGAGTGATAGACCTAGGGCCCACCAGTTGAGATCCACTGCGATTGGTCTATCACTCTATCATCTATCTATATCTAGAAGGACATGAAGGTAGGCATCTCTTAGGTCTATCGTCCATCTATCTAAGAGAGGCCTACCTTCATGTCCTAATAGTTAGAGTGATAGACCTAGGGCCCACCAGTTGAGATCCACTGCGATTGGTCTATCACTCTATCATCTATCTATATCTAGAAGGACATGAAGGTAGGCATCTCTTAGGTCTATCGTCCATCTATCTAAGAGAGGCCTACCTTCATGTCCTAATAGTTAGAGTGATAGACCTAGGGCCCACCAGTTGAGATCCACTGCGATTGGTCTATCACTCTATCATCTATCTATATCTAGAAGGACATGAAGGTAGGCATCTCTTAGGTCTAAGTTGAAGGCCTAGGAGTTGAAGGCCAAAACATCTGGGGACCCACAAGTTGAGAACCACTGTTTTAGGGTCTAATACAGGCTTTGAAGGACTCATCCTAGAGCTGAAACTATTTCAGGACGATGGTTTAGCGCCTCCTTTGAAGCTGCCGCATGACATGGAAGCTCCCATGGCATGCAAAGATGCACGCATCCAATGGGATTAAAATCTGAAAGGACCCAACTCCCTAAAGTTATGGGCTTTTGTGCAGGAGGCCTATTTTTTTTTTTAGCCTTCCTTGCCTAAAAAGAGAATGAAACACCAGGAAAAAAAAGGAGGTAGCCGGTTCATGCCGTCGACAGACAACACTACAAGTTAATTCACCTTGAGATCGGAAGAGAGCGTCCAAAGGGTTGTCCCTGCTCTCTTACTTCTCCTATGAATACATGTGTAAAAAAATAAAAATCCCAACCCAAGCAACGTTAGATCACTCTGAACCAACTGTTAATGTTGTTTACCTGAAATTTAAACTGGCTCGGCTTAAACCATGTTGGTGAGAAGATAATGTACCAGGCAGTCTGATGAAAAGCAATACTCTCTCATCAGGGGACCGGCTATTTAATTAGTTAGGGTTATTTTTCAATTTCCTCTCCTCCTAGTTGTGCTTTCCGGTCACAAGAGGGAAAGAATAAAAACGAAATAAAAACGGCGCCGAGCTCTTCCGCTTGGATTAAAAACCGCACGAGGCCCAAAGCCGCCCCCTTCTGCACGGTCCGCCGGATGCAGACTCGCTCACTGGAGGACACAGTACTTCTTGTAGTCCGACTCAAAGTCCTCGTCCATGCTGCTCGTGTCCGCCATGTTCTTGCCCTCCGTCTTTGGCAAAAATTGTGCATAGTCGACCCCCTGCTGCTCGTAGAAAAGGATGTAGGCAGAGTCAGTGTCAATTTCGTCGGGATGCAGTTCCTGGATGGATGGATGGATGGATGGATGGATGGATGGATGGATGGATGGAAGGAAGGAAGGAAGGAAGGACGGGAGAAGAAGACAACAGCTTTACTCACCCCAAAAATAAATCCCCAAAAATTTCTCGAAAATGGACAACCCTTGAAGACATCTGATCAAGAAAATCCTATTATAAGTTTGCCATAAGATGGGAATGGCTTGAAACCACAAAAATGACAACTGTGTGGAGAGGCGTCTAAGACACAGTCTCTTTCTGAAGATGTCCAAAGAAATTCTCAAGAGGCTAAAAAACATTGCTGAACCACTCTTGCCATTAAGAATCATAGAGCTGGAAGAGACCTGGTGGGCCATCCAATCCAACTCCATTTTGCCAAGAAGCAGGAAAACTGCATTCAAAGCACCCCCGACAGATGGCCGTCCAGCCTGTGCTTCAAAGCCTCCAAAGAAGCTCCCCACCACACTTTCCAGTTTGTCAACATCTCCCTTCAGTTGTGGTGCCCAGAATTGGACACAGCATTCCCGGTGTGGTCTATCCAAGGCAGAATAGAGCATGGGGAGCATGACTTCCCTAGATCTACACACTAGACTCCTATTGATGAAGGCCAAAATCCCATTGGGTTTTTTTTACCGCCGCGTGATATTCCCAGCTCATGTTCCCCTTCCTCCCCACAAGAACTCCAAGATCTTTCTCACGCATCCTGCTGTTGAGCCAGGCTTCGTCCCCCATTCTGTCTCTTTACAATTCATTTTTACTTCCTAAGTTGAATATATTACATTTATCTTTGTTGAACTTCCTTTCGTGAGTTTTGGCCAATCATATAATCCTATAGAATCCTATAGAATCATAGAGTTGGAAGAGACCTCATGGGCCATCCAGTCCAACCCCATTCTGCCAAGAAGCAGGAAAATTGCATTCAAAGCACCCCCGAGAGATGGCCATCCAGCCTCTGTTTAAAAGCTTCCAAAGAAGGAGCCTCCACCAGACTCCGGAGCAGAGAGTTCCACTGCTCAACGGATCTCACAGTCAGGAAGTTCTTCCTAATTTACCTGTCTGAACGCATCTCCCCTTATGAACCAACTAGGACTTTAAGATCGTCAAGATCTCAATCTCGCCCTCATCACAAGTATGCTTGGCAGGGACGAGAGACAGGGCCTTCTCTGTGGTGGCCCCTCGGCTATGGAATGCCCTCCCTAAGGAGATTAGATCGGCTCTCTCACTCTTAACATTTCGGAGACAAGTTATATGACCAAGCATTTACAAATGCAGAGTAACTAACATCGGAAATGGAATCACTCGACAATGGAACTTGGACAATGTTATTTAACTAGGAGACGCTGATGATAATGATGTTGGTTTTTATTGTTTTATTGCTTCGATTGTGGTTTTATACTGTTTAAATGTTCAATCTGTATTTTGTTGTTATGTGTACTGACTTGTAAACCACCTTGAGTCGCCGATAAGGCTGAAAAAAGCGGTATACAAGTATAGTAAATAAATAATGTTCAGCTGGAATCTCCTTTCTTGTAGTTTGAAGCCATTCTTCCATTGCGTCCTAGTCTCCAGGGCAGCAGAAAACAAGCTTGCGCCCTCCTCCCTATGAGGAGCGGCTGAAAGAGCCGGGCATGTTTACCCTGCAGAAGAGAAGGCTGAGAGGAGACAGGATGATGGCCATGTATAAATATGTGAGGGGAAGACTTCCCCTCACATATTTATACATGGCCATCATCCTGTCTCCTCTCAGCCTTATCTTCTGCAGGGTAAACGTGCCCGGCTCTTTCAGCTGCTCCTCATAGGACTTGTTCTCAACATCTCCCTTCATGGGACACAGTGTGATTCCAGATGTGGTCTAACCAAGGCAGAATAGAGCATGGGGAGCATGACTTCCTTGGATCTAGACACCAGACTCCTATTGATGCAGGCCAAAATCCCATTGGCTTTTTTTGCCTTAAGATGGTTTTGATTTCCGCTCCTTTTTGAGATTTCCCAGCGCATCTTACCTTACAGCTGCTGTCGTTATAACAGTACCATTTGTCGTTGGGGTTTTTGGCATATGTGACGTAATGACCTCCTCCCATAATTCCTGAATGGCACTGAAAGAGACAGAGCGTTTGTTACGGGTGGCCAAAGAGAGAGATTAGTCCTAAGCCATAAATGGCTGTATTTCTCTTGACGTCTGGCGTCAAATACACTGCAAAGCCAAGAGGAAGCTCCAGTTTTGATTACAGAAGGAAGTATGTAACTCCAGCATGGCGCACGAATTTCACAACTGGCCTGGGACTTCGGAAGGCTAAGGTTCGAATCCCAATAAGCAACAGGAACCCACTGGGCGACTTGTGGGCAGCTCTGCTTAAGAAGAAGAAATGGCAAACCTTTTCTATATATGTTGTCGAAGGCTTTCATAGTTGGAATTGTGTGTTTTCTGGGCTGTCTGGCCATGTTCCAGAAGCATTCTCTCCTGACGTTTTGCCTGCATCTGTGGCAGGCATCCTCAGAGGTTGTGAGGACCTCTATTTGCCTTTTTATGTTTGGAATCTGCCCTGAGTCCCTCCAGGGAGATATGGCAGAATATAAATAGATTATTATTATTATTATTATTATTATTATTATTATTATTATTATTTACTGCATTTATATACCGTCCCTCTCAGCCCGCAGGCGACTCGGGACGGTTTACAGTTGGTACCAATACCATAAAATACATTATTATTAAATACAATACATTATTATTATTACTATTATTACTATTATTATTATTATTGCAGTGTTCCTTCACTACTTTGCAGTTCCATTTTCGCAGACTCACTGTTTTGCGGGTTTTTGCCTCCCCGTTTAAGAATGGTTGCCACTGCCCAGAGTGGTGTTCTAATCCCGCCTCCTTTTTTTTTTGTCGTGTCAGAAGCGACTTGAGAAACTGCAAGTCGCTTCTGGTGTGAGAGAATTGGCCGTCTGCAAGGACGTTGCCCAGGGGACGCCTGGATGATTTGATGTTTTTATCATCCTTGTGGGAGGCTTCTCTCATGTCCCCGCATGAGAGCTGGAGCTGATAGAGGGAGCTCATCCGCCTCTCCCTGGATTCGAACCTGCGACCTGTCGGTCTTCAGTCCTGCCGGCACAGGGGTTTAACTCACTTCGCAACCGGGGGCACCCTCGGGAGAGAGGCAGCCAATCATAAAAAGAGAGACAGAGAGAGGAGATACAAAGCAGTATGTAAATCAAAGCTAGCAAAAAAAAAAAGTGCACTGTGCCTTTAAATCTCCCCTTGCTTCTGCCTCACCCTCGGAATTGATATATATATATATCTAACATCCCTATTTCACAGATTTTCACTTTTCGCGGGTAGTCCTAGAACGTAACGCCTGCGATAAGTGAGGGAACACTGTATTATTATTATTATTATTATTATTATTATTATTATTATTATTATTATTATTATTATTATTATTATTGCAGAGCACTTGATGAACTAACCTGGGCATAGTATACTATATGAGAACACAGAAATGCTGGGCCACCCTCACAACTCACCATGCCAGAGTGAAGCCACTGAAATCCACAAGAATCATGTGGACAATGTCACAGAACTCACAGCCTCTGAGGATGCCTGCCATAGATGCAGGCAAAACGTCAGGAGAGAATGCTTCTAGAACATGGGCAAACAGACCGAAAAACTTACAACGACCCAGAATGTGGACAATTTCAACAGAAAGGAGGAAACCATGAAAATGAACACAATCTGGCTACCAGTATGGAAAAATGCTAAATAAAGAGCAACACTCAGAAAACGGTGGAATTCCAAACAGGAATCAATCAGGGCCAGCTAACATCTCCCAACAAAACATTCCCCCAGGCAGGAAGCAGCCAGGCTTTGAAGCTGCAAGGCCACTCAGTGCTAATCAAGGAGGCCAACTGCAACATTCATACTTGCCTCAAGCCGACAAGAGTTCTTTCTCCCACCCTGGATATCATTCCACAGATATATAAACCCCACTTGCCTTATTTCCAACAGACTGCACAACCTCTGGGGATGCCTGCCATAGATGTGGGCGAAACCTCAGGGAAGAATGCTTCTGGAACATGGCCAGACAGCCTGGAAAACTCACAGCAACCCAGACAAGTCCTTTCTCTCACCCTGGACATCATTCCACAGATTTATACAGTGTTCCCTCGACACTTTGTGGTTCGCTTTTAGTGGACTCGCTGTTTCGCGGTTTTCAATCAACATTAATTTTTATATATATATATAGCAGTATTTTCATTGTTTCGTGGGTTTTTACCGCCGCCGCTCTCTGAGGCGCTTTCCCTCCTCAGTCATCCCTCCCTCCAGCCTTGAAGGGCCTTTCCTTCACCTTATTTTAAGTTTATAAAAGCTTAAAATAGTATATAACAGAAGCCTCTGTGTGCGGTAGGCCTGTCTCTGAGAGAAGGGCTTACAGTGTGAGGTAGGTCTTAATCTGTGAGAGAAGGCCTCACAGTGTGAGGTGGGCCTTAGTCTATGAGAGAAGTCTCTGTGTGAGGTARGCCTGTCTGTGAGGAAGGYCTCACAGTGTGAGTTAGGCCTTAGTCTGTGAGAGAAGCCTCTGTGTGGGATAGACCTGTCTCTGAGAGAAGGCCTTACAGTGTGAGGTAGGCCTTAGTCTATGAGAGTAGTCTATGAGACTAAAATAATGTATAAATATTAAAATAAATATAGCRTCCCTACTTCGCRGTTTTTCACTTATTGTGGGAGGTCCTGGAACGTAACCCCTGCAATAAGTGAGAGAACACTGTAAACCCCAACAGATCTCACAACCTCTGAGGATGCCTGCCACAGATGTGGGCAAAACATCAGGAGAGAATGCTTCTGGAACATGGCCAGACAGCACGGAAAAATCACAGCAACCCATTATGATTATTACTTATAATGAACCCAAGACAGGGATAGCAATAAGGAAAGAAACACCAATGTGTCTATGATGTGCATCAAAAGCTTAAAAGATTACAAGGGAGCCTGAAATTCCAATACTTAAGAATGCCTGAGCACTTTTCAATCTTGGATTCTCAGACTCTCTCCATCTTTTAAGCTGCTGATATGGACTGCACCACTACGCCAATGATCCTAAGTTGGGTGCCAGGTGCCCAGAGGGGAGTCAAAATTCTATTGATGGCCAGTGACGATCTTTCAGCCCCTTAATACAAAGAGATAATGGCTGTTTCGGTCCACCCACCGAAATTGCATAAAGGTTGTAGATGGGGTTCACGCAGATCTCTCCTCCTCTTTGGTCTTCCGCCATCTCCTCCTCGCCAACCGCGTCCAGCTGGCCGTCGATGCTGCCGTTGCTGTGAGAGTTCTGCTTGCAAAGGTACCCGTTGGCCAAAGTCCCCTCGGCCTCCGAAGGGGCGCAGAGCTCGCCCTGGCTGCCCCCCAAAGCCTGCCCTCGCGAGAAGCCCTCTCCTGGCTCCAGATCCATGCCGTTCTCTCGGCTGAGGTCCAGGTTTTCCTTGCTGCCGGAAAGTTTGTTTTTACAGAGCTGAGGTAGCCGGAGACGCCCTTTGCTCCGGCCCAAAGTCCTCGGGCTTCCGGTTGGGCTAATGTTTTTATTCGAAGGGCAGGCAGAGGCAGACTTCCTTCCAGAAGATGGGGAGGCTGGAAGGAACGCATGAGAACAGTTAACATCTTGGACTCACACATGCAACGTAAACATAGAGACTGGGGACTCTAGGAAAAGAGGAGGTTGTGAAAGACAAGCGACATCTCTGGATGTGTTTCGGAAAAATAATCATTATTATTATTATTGCTCGTCTTATTATATATCTATATATATAAAAAGAGAAAGGGCGTTCAACGGGACAGCAAAACGCAAAAACCCCCCGACAAAAAGTTACCAAATTTACCATGCACATACCTCAACCCACAAGGTATGCACAAATCGATTCAAAATTCTAAACAACATTAAAACACACTCACAATTAGACAAAACAACTGAGCATGCGCAAAGGCGCCCCGCCGCAAGTCCCCGGCGCGCGAACACGGCCTGGCGGCCAACGCACCCTCCGCACAAGCCACGCCCCCATCCTCCGTCGCCCAGCCCCTACCCTCCCATACGCCCTCTTTCCAACACACCCTCCTTCTTCTTCCCCCGCCCATGGCCCCCACGATCACCCCTAAACAACCATACCCCAACCTTACCTCCTCCCCCTCCTTCTTCTTCCCCCACCCGCGCCCCCCACGGAAGGAAGGAGAGAAGGAGGGAGAGAAAGAAAGGAAAGAAGGAGAGAGAAGGAAAGAAAGAAGGTAGAGAAGGAAGGAAGGAGAGAAGGAGAAGAGAAGGAGGGAAGGAGAGAAGGAAGAAGAAAGGGTAAGAAGGAAGGAAAGGAGGGAGAAGGAGGGAAAGAAGGACGGAAGGAGAGAAAGAAGGAAAGAAATAAAGGTAAAGAAGGAAGGAAGGAGAGAAGGAAGTATAGAAAGTGTGAGAGAAGAAGGGAAAGGAGAGAAGGAAGGAAAAAAAGAAGGGTAGAGAAGGAAGGAAGGAGAGAAGGAGGAAGAGAAGGAGGGAAGGAGAGAAGGAAGGAAAGAAAATGGTATAGAAGGAAGGAAGGAGAGAAGGAGGGAAAGAAGGAGATAAAGAAGGAAAGTAAGAAGAGGGAGAAGGAGGAAAGAAGGAAGGATAGAAGGAAGGGAGGAAAGAAGGAAGGAGAAGGAAGGAAGGAGAGGAGAAATAAAAAAGTGAAAGAGGAGGAAGGAGAGAAGGAACGAAAGAGAGAAAGAGGGAGGGAAGAAAGGAAAGAGACAAGGAAGGGTGGAACCAAACAGCAAAAGAAGTGAGAAAAGAAACATGTAGAGAAGGAAGAAAGAAGAAGGGAAAGAAAAAGAAAGAAAGGGAAGGAATGAAAGAGGGAGGGAAGGAAAGATAGGAAAAAAGGAGAGAAAGAGGGAGGGAAGGTTGCCCACAGCAACGCGTGGCGGGTACAGCTAGTATAATATATATATATATATATATATATATATATATATATATATCCACATTGCGAGTAATAATATATAAAGCTTCAATATGCTGATGACAACATCGTCTGTGCACATTCAGAAGATGACCTACAAGCCACTAAACACCTTTGCAGAAGCATACAAGAAGCTCGGCCTGTCATTGATCATCGAGAAAACCAAAGTGCTCCTCCAGCAGTCACCAGCCAATCCCTCTGCAAGGCCAGAAATACAGCTTAATAATGTAACATTAGAAAATGTTGACCCTTTCTGCTACATCTGCAACCACCTCTCCACAAAAGTCAACATTGACATTGAAATATAACACTGTCTGAGCTCTGCGAGTGCAGCATTCTTACGAATGAAGCACAGAGTGTTTGAGGACCGGGACATCCGTAGGGAGACCAAAATGCTTGTTTATAAAACTACTGTCCTCTCAACCCTGCTATATGCCTGCAAAACGTGGACTGTCTACAGACATCACATGCAACTCCTGGAATGATTCCATCAGCGTTGCCTCTGAAAAATCCTGCAAATATTTTGGGAGACAGGCGGACAAATGTCAGTATGCTGGAAGAAGCAAAGACCACCAGCACTGAAGTGATGCTCCTCCGCCATCAACTCCGCTGGACCGGCCACATTATCCGAATGCCCGACCACCGTCTCCCAAAGCAGTTGCTCTATTCCGAATTCAAGAACGGAAAATGGAATGTTGGAGGACAGGAAAAAATATTGAAAGACGGGCTCAAAGCCAACCTTAAAAACTCTGACATAGACACTGAGAACTGGGAAGCCCTGGCCTTGGAGCGCTCGAACTGGAGGTCAGCTGTGACCAACAGTGCTGTAGAATTTGAAGAGGCACGAATAGAGGGCGAAAGGGAGAATTGTGCCAAGAGGAAGACCAGGACTGCCTTCCACCTGGAAACTGATGCTCTCACTGCGGGACAAGATGCAGATCAAGAATAGAGCTCCACAGTCACTTACGGACCCACCGCCAGGACACCAAACTTGGAGGACAATCTTACTCAGACAACAAAGGATCATCTAAGTAAAGTAAGTATAAAGCTTCAAAATTCAGCATATTTTTGTTTACTTCTGCAAGGTTTTCATTCATCATATGCATTTTCTTAGTTTGGAAAAAAAGTGTTTTACTTAAATCTGTTGAACCGCTCTTCATTTTTGTCTCTCGTTATTTCTTCCCCTGGAAGTTTCTGTTATGGAAGTCATTGTCAGAAATATTAATAATTAAGTAGGTATTTTTAATTACAAAAATGCGAGTCGGGCACTGAAAGGGTTAAATGGATGCAATGACTCAGCAAAAGTTGCATTTCTATATAAGCAGGTGCCTGTAGCTTAGTAATCATCAGTCTGAGATAAGCCTCAGTGGGAGAAAGGTTTCAGGTTGTGAGAAGGCCGCACAGTGTGAGGTAGGCCTTAGTCTGTGAGAAAAGGCCTCAGTGTGAGGTAGGCTTTAGTCTGTGAGGAAGGCCTCACAGTGTGAGGTTGGCCTTAGTCTGTGACAGAAGCCTCTGTGTGCGGTAGGCCTGTCTCTGAGAGAAGGGCTTACAGTGTGAGGTAGGTCTTAATCTGTGAGAGAAGTCTCTGTGTGAGGTAGGCCTATCTCTGAGAGAAGGCCTTACAGTGTGAGGAAGGCCTTAATCTGTGAGAGAAGCCTCTGTGAGAAGTCTGTGAGAGAAGCCTCTGTGTGAGATAGGCCTGTCTCTGAGAGAAGGCCTTACAGTGTGAGGTAGGCCTTAGTCTGTGAGAGAAGCCTCTGTGTGGGGTAGACCTGTCTCTGAGAGAAGGCCTTACAGTGTGAGGTAGGCCTTAGTCTATGAGAGTAGGGCTCAAAGTATGAAATGGGCCTTAGTCTGTGAGAGAAGCCTCTGTGTGAGGTAGGTCTTAGTCTGTGAGAAGCTTAGATGAGAAAAGCCCCAGATGGAAGGCCTCGTGTGTAAAGCTATTGTGTGAAGCTCCTACGTAAGTTCGGTGTGAGAGGAAGCTCTGTGAATGCAAAGCATGAGAAAGAAGCCTAGCATGGAAGCAAAGCAGGAAGTATAAAGGACTTGATCTTGGTATGGAAACCTTGTTTTTGTAAATAGTGCATCCATATTATTTGACTACAAAGAAAAGCCTCCGAAGGAAGAGATAACATTGGTCAGTGTGTTTGTGTTCTTTCTATCACTTTGGGCAACTGGTGCTGGGTCACGCTGCTGCTAATGAGTTACCCAGCTGTACATTTATGGGGAGGGTCTTTTGTTAACAAGCCCACCTGCCCAACAGTCATCCCCAGGCAAACCTTGACTTTTCAACAGAGATTTAGACAATCAGATTCCATGCCTGCATCCTTCTGCCGCTCGCCACACTCAGGCCTCACTCTTACCTTTGACATCATTGAAGATGTTGGATGCGCTGAGGGAGGAGGGGCTCCTGGCCATGGCGTCCCCTTCCCCGGATGTGTTGGGCAGCACTTCCATCCTCCTGCACTCTTCCAGCAGAGCCTGAGGCTCCGAAAGGTCGTCGGGCTGTGGGGTCATGGGCTTCTGCGCCCAGCAGCTGGGGTCCCGCGGCATCAGGAAGGCACTCGGGTTGAAATCCTCGCGGGGAAACTTGACAATTTTCTGGGATTTGATCCAGCGGCCATTGACAAACTGGAAGCGCTTCAAGTGGATGATCTGAGAGGAAAAATGGATCCCTAATGAGTGGCAGAGATGCCCCTTGGCATGGGGTGGGACCCTCGGTTTGATCCCCAGTCCCTCCAGTGCAAAGGATGATGGAAACCCCGGAGAGTAGCTGCCAATCACAGTCAACAAGACTGGGCTGGATCATCCTCCCGTGACCTTTTACACAACACCACTGACACCACTTGATTATTCAATCAATCAAAGCTTTGTTACGGCCCAAAGACCAAAAAATTATTTATTTTTATGACATTTATACCCCACCATTCTCAGTAGCTTACAAGCTATATGTACATACAATATATTATATTATTAACATGGCACAATATTATTATTATATGTTATTATATTGTACTATATCACTATACTGTAATATTAGTAATATTACATGTAATATAAAATATATAATTATTATAGTTTTATTATTATATTATTATACTATTATTAGTATTATATTGTACTATATTATACTATTATCAATATTACATGTGTATAGAATATATTATATTATCAGCATAGCACAATATTAGTATTACATTGTATTACAATGTAATACTAGTATTGTGCTATGCTGATAATATACAATATTATATTATTGTATACAATATATTAAATAGTATACAATAGTATACAATATATTATATTATTAGCACAGCACAATATGACAATTATATATTATTATATTGTACTATACCACTATACTGTAATATTAGTAATATTACATGTAATATAAAATATATAATTATTATAGTTTATTATTAGTATTATATTGTACTATATTATAATATTATTATCAATATTATATGTGTATAGAATATATTATATTATTAGCACAATATGAGTATTATATATTATTATATTGTACTATACCGCTATACTGTAATACTATTAGTAATATTACATGTAATATAAAATATATAATTATTATAGTTTATTATTAGTATTATATTGTACTATATTATAATATTATTATCAATATTATGTGTGTATAGAATATATTATATTATTAGCACAATGAGTATTATATATTATTATATTGTACTATACCTATACTGTAATATTATTAGTAATATTACATGTAATATAAAATATATAATTATTATATTATTATATAGTATTATATTGTATTACATTATAATATTATCAATATTTTATGTATATACAATATATTATATTATTAGCACAGCACAATATGAGAATTATATATTATTATATTGTATTATTATATCGCTTTTCGCGAACTCGCTGTTTTGCAGGTTTTTGCCTCCCAGTTTATGAATGGTTGCCGTTGCCCAGAGCGGTGTTCTAATCCTGCCTCCATATATATATATACACACACACAGAACCCCCATGTGGGTCACAGCAGCGTATGGCAGGGGTCAGCTAGTGTGTGTGTATATATATATATATATATATGGTGATGAGGGACGTACCAGGATAGGGGGAAGCCTCCACAAGTCCAGCTTTTTGGTGGCCAAGCAGTGGGTCTTGCACTTGGAGCAGTAGTACATCTCGTCCTCGCCCAACTCTTCCTCGCTCGTGAAAGCACGCAAGCAGCTGTCCAGGTTGATTGGCTCGGCCTGAGCGCGGCGGCTTTGCTCCACACTTCTGTGCTCCTCCGCAATCTAAACAGGTAAAGAAGAGAGAAACGGGTGGGCTTTTCAAGCGCTCCCCCCTCCCCCCGAATCCAATCTGTTGCAACGTTCAATACTGTATAGTACAATGGTTCTCAACCTGAGGGTCGCGACCCCCGAAGGGGTCGTTTGGCAATTCTGGAGGGGTCGCAGCATGGTCTCATTAGGCCACACCTCCTCCTGCAGGCCCCATGCACCCTCAATAGTGCGCCAAACAGATACCGAGGCTACTGGAAGAGTGCGTGTAAGAGAGAGAGGCAGGGAAGGGAAGGAAAGAGAGGAGAGAAAGAGCCTGGCTGCGTGCCTCCTTGCAACTGGAGAGCTTCCCTCTCACCAAGTGAGCAGGGCCTACACTTCTCCATTAGCAGGGTTGTTCCATTTCTTACCCGTTCCTGTGACGTCTGGTACCGAAGGTGGAGCGCCGTGGGATCCCAATCGACGGCAAGGTTGGCGTTGCCCATGTGAGCCCTCTCTTCGGTGCAGTCGATTTTGCAGCCATGGCAAAAACTACACAAGGAAGGGAGGACACAGAAGTGGGGTGGAAATGAATCCTCGTCAACACCACCCCATCTGGAGAGCATCAGCCAACCGCCCTACGTTTGTTCCCAGTTCAGGAGAGAGCTACTTACCGGTACCAAGGGCACCAAGCGCAGGAGTTGCCGTCCTTCTGAACCACTCGCAGGGTGAAGGGGTACTGGTAACCTAAGCTATCATCACTGGGAAAAACAAAGACATGGATCATTATTATAATAAACCTTGATTTATACCCCGCTACCATCTCCCGAAGGACTTAGTGCGGCTTACAAGAGGCCGAGCCCAAATACATCAGTAAAACACAACAACAACAATACAATAGCAACAAATTCATAAGCAAGCAAAAACATTAACAATAACACATTAAGTGCATTAAAACTTTTATTATTATGTTGATGTGCAAAGTCCCAACTGAGTGCATCTTAGACCCAGGTTATTTGAAAGACCATATCATATCCCATATGAGCCTGTTTGAATTTTAAGGTCTGTAAGCAAGGATTTCTCTCTATCCCACTGCCTTCAGGGGTATGTTTGGTACGACTTCCACACTTTGGGACTTCCTCGCTACGGATGTTAGGAAGGATCCTCCCTTGTCTGTACTCTGGGTTCCAAACCCTGTCTGATCTTGAAAGCTAAGCAGCATCAATAGGACTTGGATATGAAACTTCCAATGAATACCTGGTGCTAGAGGCTCTATCTTTGACTATTTGTTGCCTAAGAAAACCCTATGAAATTGATGGGGTGGCTATAGATCAGGCATCCTCAAACTGCGGCCCTCCAAATGTTTGGGCCTTCAACTCCCAGAATTCCTGACAATTCTCCGATCATCTAGAGAGGCCCTGCTCGCACTCCCACCTCTGTCGCAGGTGCGACTGGTGGGGACGAGGGAGAGGGCCTTCTCGGTGGTGGCCCCTCGTCTCTGGAATTCACTCCCTAAGGACATTAGGCATGCCCCAACTTTGGCAGTCTTTAGGAGGAGTCTGAAAACGTGGTTATTCCAATGTGCCTTCCCAGAATAAGAAATTCCCAGCAATCTGTCCTTAAATGCACTTTATTAATGACCTAGGATTGTTTTTGCACGCCCATCACTTCCCGAAAATTCACCCTAATCATATTTTACCTGCCATGTCCAGCATATTTCAAATAAATAAATAAATAAATAAATAAAGTTGAAGGCACTTACAAAGATTTTTTTTATTACTGTATATACTCGAGTATAAGCCAACCCGAATATAAGCCGAGCCACCTAATTTTACCCCAAATGGCTGGGAGAAATGTATTGACTCTAGTATAAGCCGAGGGTTGGAAATGCAGCAGCTACTGGTCCATTTCAAAATAAAAATAGAGACCAATACAATTACATTAATTGAAGCATCAGCGGGTGAAATGTTTTTGAATATTTACCATATTTCAAAGAATAGCACTAAACTAGCTCCGTAAGAGGAAGTATAGGGTCCACAAACATAATATAGTATCAACAATAACTTTATAATGATAATCTATATATATCAAAATGCAGTGTTCGTTTGTGGGATTAACATAACTCAAAAACCACTGGATGAATTGGCACCAAATTTGGATACAAGACACCTATCAGGCCAATATGTTGGGGATCCCTCCCCTCAGCACTAACTGCTGCTCTGGGTCAGAGTGAAGAGAGGGGGGGGGGGGGCTCGGGACAGTTCAATCTTGCTTTCAAACTCACCAGTCTTGGGCATGATTACTGGCCTCTTGGGGAGGGAGGGGGCTGGCAAGTCGGGACACTTGGATCCATACGGCGTCATACAAGTCCCTCTTCCGCGTGTGAATGGTGCAGGGAACAATCAGGGGCATGCCAAAGAGGCTGGGCCGGTTCTTCTGAGCCGAAAGGAAGTACATCTCTGTCCGCATCTGCGATTGACATTTGAAGTTATTTCAAAGACATCAAGAGTGACACACAAAGGTATTCAAATAGAAGATGGCTTTGAAAGGCAGCAGATCACAGGAGCTGTCTTCTCGCCTCCTCCTGAGAATAACGTATAGTATCACAAAGAACTACCACCTCACCCGCTTCATAGGAAACCTGCTACAAAACAGGAGCTTTTTTGTTGAGTTCCAGGGCCAGAGAAGCAGATGGCGAAAACAGAAGAACAGCCTGCCTCAGGGGAGCGTGCGTGCTCCATCAATGCTCAACATTTACACAAATGATCAGCCTCTGCCAGAAAGGACAGAGAGTTGCATCTATGCCGACGATTGTGCCATCACCGCTCAAGCAGGGAACTTTGAGTCAAAATAACACAAAGAACCACTGCTTTCTCCCAAATGGCACCCAATGTCTTTCCTCTACATATCTGCCCAGCCTCTGAGAGCAAAAGTACAAGTATGTGATGGAAACCAAGTAGCAAAGGGCAAGCACTTATCATGGGTGTTACGTTCCAGGACCAACCACGAAAAGTGGAAATCTGTGAAGTAGGGACGCTACATTTATTTTAATATTTATACATTATTTTAGTAGGGAAAGGTAAAGGTTTTCCCCTGACATTAAGTCCAGTTGTGTCCTACTCTGGGGATTGGTGCTCATCTCCATTTCTAAGCCAAGGAGCCAGCGTTGTCCGTAGACACCTCCAAGGTCATGTGGCCGGCATGACTGCATGGAGCACTGTTACCTTCCCGCCAGAGCAGTACCTATTGATCTACTCACATTTGCATGTTTTCGAACTGCGTTGTCCAGCGTTGTCCGTAGACACCTCCAATGTCTTGTGGTGGAAGCTCACTCCGCTCCCCAGATTTGAACCTGCAACCTCTCAGTCAACAAGTTTAGCAGCTCAGTGGTTTAACCCACTGCGTCACCGGGGGCTCCATTATTTTAGTAGTTATACACTATTTTAAGTCTTTATTTCAAGTCTGAGCTTGTTGACTGAAAGGTCACAGGTTCGAATCTGGGGAGTGGTGTGAGCTCCCACTGTCAGCCCCAGCTTCTGCCAACCTAGCAGTTCGAAAACATGCAAATGTGAGTAGATCAATAGGTACTGCTCCGGCGGGAAGGTAACAGTGCTCCATGCAGTCATGCCGGCCACATGACTTTGGAGGTGTCTACGGACAACGCCGTCTCTTCGGCTTAGAAATGGAGATGAGCACCACACCCCGGAGTTGGACACTACTGGACTTACCTAAGTCTTTATAAACCCTCCCCACACAGTTATACACTACATAACCCTTCTTGAACATGTTGTTCACGTAATCCTCGGCTCCGGCTTTATCTGCAGAGGCAGCCTCTCCATACAGACAAACACTCTTAAGTCCATATTGAAAAACCATGAAACAGCGAGTCCGCCAAAAGCGAACCACGAAATAGCAAGGGACCACTGTAAACCAAAGCTTCAATCCTACCGAAGTCTTGGAATTCCAAGGGATAAAAACCTACAAAGTTCAGACTTTACTCTCGACTATACTGAAAAACAACAAAAAATCTTGTTGTGCTGGTTCCCCACTAACCATTTTCCGGTGCACCGCAATGATGTAGCCGATGAAGGGGCTGTCGGAAGGTGAGACCGCATGACCATTGGGTATCGTGTTGGAGAAGCCGTTCTCCATCCTGCAGGGCACCACCGTGTTTGGCATCCCGTTCGGGATCAAAGTGGATCGAGAAAGGTCTCCATTCATCAGCCCTCCGAGCATCCCGTTTGCCGGCTGTCCATTGTGGAATTCTAAAGAGAAATAAATGGATCCGTGAGACAGAATTACACTGGAGAGGACGAGTGGAGGCCCAGCAGAGCAATTCAGGGACACATGTAGCCTTTGTTGCAATTCTGTACTAGGTTTCTGCTGTTCTGTCCGCAGTCTGCCTTTTTCCCACAGCAAAGACAGAATCAAACTATTTTTATTTTACCTGTTTGAACAGGACTTGAAGAAGTCGACGTGGGGGACCCGGGGATCGGTATCTCGAATGCGCACAAAGAAGAGCTGGTAGAGTGCCGGACCTTCTGGTTGTCTTGAGGAAAGTTCTTTCGAAAGTAAAGGAGAGAAAGAGAAGTAATATTATGGAATGAATTCATATGCACCCTGCACATATCTTATTTGTAGTGCAAAAAGCAAAAACAATACAATAATTAAAATGAAGAACAATTTTAATAAATATAAACTTATTAGCATCACTGTGTACGAACCCACACGATCTCTCTGATCATCTGGAGAGGCCCTGCTCACGCTCCCACCTCCATCGCAAGCGCGATTGGTGGGGACGAGGGACAGGGCCTTCTCGGTGGTGGCCCCTCGACTCTGGAACTCACTCCCGAGGGACATCAGACATGCCCCAACAATGGCAGTCTTTAGGAGGAGCCGGAAAACGTGGTTGTTCCAGTGAGCCTTCCCAGAATAAGGAAAACTCTCAGCAATATGTCCTCAAATGCACCTTAATATTGATTTAGGGTTGTCTGCGCACCCTCATCTTTCTCTATTTTAATTTGTCTTACCTTGTTCATGCCCAGCACTTTTTGATTTTAAATTTTAATTATTACATTTGGCCCGGCCATAGGTTTTCTAAATGCTGTATGTTGCGATATGTTATTGTTATTGCTTACTGTGTATTTCTGTTTTGAGTTTATTTTAACTGTTTTGTATTGATTATTGTTATTGCTTTTGTTTATTGTATGTGCTGTGGGCTTGGCCTCATGTAAGCCGCACCGAGTCCCTTGGGAGATGGTAGCGGGGTACAAATAAAGTTTTTTTTATTATTATTATTATTAGTAGTAGTAGTAGTAGTATTTTAGTGGGAAGTGTGGACCTGCTTTTGGCTGTTGAGATAGGATTGTTGTTATTGTTGTGTGCTTTCAAGTCGTTTCAGACTTAGGTTGACCCTGAGCGAGGGCCAGTTAGATGACCTTGGAGGGCCGTATGCGGCCCTTGGGCCATAGTTTGAGGACCCCTGGTTTAGCCAGTATTGCACCACCTGACATCCGCTGGGAAGTAGCAAACAATAGTGAAAAGACCAAAGCAGTGACATCTCCGGCCAAACCTCTGTTTGGATATCAGCCAGCATGCCAATGACTTAAATCAAGAAATAGTTTTCTAAGAGCTAAAGAAACACTTGCTGGAACACCTCAGCAAGCGAGAGTCCAAAAGTGGCAGGCTAAAACCATGGCTGATACCAAATGAGAGACTTCCCCCTGGACACACAGAAAACTGGGTGACTTGGAAGGCGCTGAACAGACTGCGCTCTGGCACCACGAGATGCAGAGCCAACCTTAAGAAATGGGGCCACAAATTGGAGTCCACGACATGCGAGTGTGAAAGAGAGCAAACCACTGACCATGTACTATTTATTTATTTATTTATTTACTTACTTCATTTATATACCGCTTTTCTCAGCCCTCGGGCAACTCAAAGCCGTTAACAATAGCAAAAATTCAATGCTACAATGCAATCTGAGCCCTGCCACATGCACAATGCACATGCAACACCAGAGGCACTCCAAGTGGCCAGCTACTGGTCAAAATAATAATAATAATAACAACTTTATTTTTATACCCCGCCAACCATCTCCCCTAGGGGACTCGGGGCGGCTTACAAGGGACACGCCCAAGATTACAATTAAAACACACATGTAAAACACTTTTAACCAATGAAAACATCAGATGAAACCAATAACAACACAATTGAAAGCAATATAAAAACAAAAGACGCTTAATAGAATTCCAAGTTTGCAAACTTTGTGTGTGTGTGTGTGTGTGTGTGTGTGTTTTTTAAAATACAACACAACTGTTTGGTTCGCTCCTGACATGATAAACGAATAAATCCCCATTCCTATCATGAATATCAACATAAACATCAGACACAATCACAGGCTGATATACAACACTACATTTCTTACCGACCACACAGTCACCTGTGATCAATAGTCAGTGGAGTTCAAAATACCCCGAGGCATTTGAATAGCAAACAGTCAAACAGCAGTTACCTTGATGTTGGAGCTGTGTACTTCTGCGAGGAGGATCTGCTCTGGCTTCAAGGCGCACAAGTCGCTGAGATGCTTTTTCAGCCCTGTGTACTTCTCATCCATGTTGAGCCTCAGACCATATCGAACGGGGGTCGTGCCGTCTAACTTAGTGACTAGCCAAGAAGAGAAGAAAACACCCGTGAAAAAAATGCAAGTTTGTACAGTGTTCCCTCACTTATTGTGGGTGTTACGTTCCAGGACCACCCGCAAAAAGTGAAAATCCGCAAAGTAGGGAAGCTATATTTATTTTAATACTAGCTGTCCCCTGCCACGCGTTGCTGTGGCCCAGTCTGTTGATCTGGAAAATAAAGTAATGAGAAAGTGTTGGTTTCTAATATATGTAATTTCTTTCTGCTTGTGGGTAAACAGTATTTCTTGCTGTTTCTTTGTCAGTGAGGATGTGGAGAGTGTCTGGTTTGTCTACTCTGGAATATGCAACATATCATTGTCCTTCTTTAAGGGTCCCTTTCAAATCTATGATACTATATCTCTCTCTATGTGTGAATCATATCTATCTATCTATCTATCTATATTGATGGCTGGTTGGCTCTTTGTCAGGATGGCTTTGATTACCTTTTCTTGCCCTGATGGAGTTGGATTGGATAGCCTTAAGTATTTTCTGTTGGTCATGGGGTTCTGTGTGGGAAGTTTGCCCCGATTCTGTTGTTCGTGGAGTTCAGAATGCTCTTTGATTGTATGTGAACTGTGAATCCCAGTGACTACAACTTCCAAATGTCAAAGTCTATTTCCCCCAAATGCCATCTGTGTTCATATTTGGGTGTATTGAGTGCTTGTGCCAAGTTTGGTCCAGATCCATCATTGTTTGAGTCCACAGCGCTCTCTGGATGTAGGTGAACCACAACTCCAAAATTCAAGGTCAGTGCGCACCAAACTCTTCCAGTATATTCTGTTGGTCATGGGTCTGTGTGCCAAGTTTGATTCAATCCCATTGTTGATAGAGTTCAGAATGCTTTTTGATTTTAGGTGAACTATAAATCCCAGCAACTACAACTCCCAAATAACAAAATCATAATTTTTTGAGTGATGGTCACTCCTTGTGTTGTGAGACGTTTTGTTGCCAAATTTGGTGTGATTTGGTATGATTTCGTTCATTAGTTCTTTTGTTTTTAAGGTACTCATTATGACCAGAGCATTTATATATATATAGATTTATACATTATTTTAGTAGTTATACACTACTGTAAGTCTTTATAAACCCTCCCCACACACTTATACACTACATAACCCTAGTGAACTGCAAAGTAGCAAGGGACCATTGTAATCGTGCGGAAGTTGGAGTATTATTTCCGCAGAGTTACTCAATGAGGGGAAAAAACAAGGCAAAACTATAGCACCCCCAGAGTAGAAAAGGGGGACCCAAGTATTCTTATACCTCACCTATAATTTCTATGTGCATGTAGCTGTCCATCGGGAGGGGCAACGATAAGAAATTAAAGGGGTCAAAGCGCACGCTGATGTGGCCGCAAGTCTTGCACTTGACTTGAGACCTCAACTGCCCGTGGAACAAGTCCACCACAATCGAACGGTTCCTCCGCAGGTGATTCTCCCAGGCCTGAAAAGAGAATGAACTTTCACATCTTTCTTTTTAAAGGTCATCATCATCATCATCATCACCATCAACATCCTAGGTGACAACAAAATTGACCGGAAGCAATTGATAAAACTTTACATGATATGATGATTTAAAAATCAAACTGCAAAGACCCTGGCACAAGCCAGTCCAAGGGCGTCCCAGACGTGATTGGCACACTGGGTACAGTGCCTCAAGACCTTGGCCTGCACTTGAAAACAATTGGCGTTGACAAAATGACCATCTGTCAGCTGCAAAAGACCACCCTACTGAGATCTGCACACATTATCTGCTGATACATCGCACATTCCTAGGCATTTGGGAAGTGTCCGACGTGTGATTGAATACAAATTGCAGCATAGCAATCTTGTTTGATGTACCAATCAAGTTGTGTATCGAATAATAATGATAATAATAATATTTTCAGTAAAATAATAATAATAATAATAATAATAATAATAATAATAATAGATAGGAGTTTAGGAGGAAAAAGATTTGGGAGAAACAATAATAATAACAACAGCAGCAGCAACAAACCCATACATTTTAAAGATCATAATAATCATCATCATCATAATCCTAGATGACAGCAGAATTGACCGGAAGCAATTGATAAAACTTTACACGATATGATGATTTAAAAACCAAACTGCAAAGACCCTGACACAAGCCAGTCAAGGGTGTCCCAGACGTGATTGGCACACTGGGTACAGTGCCTAAAGACCTTGGTCTGCACTTGAAAACAATTGGCGTTGACAAAATGACTATCTGTCAGCTGCAAAAGGCCACCCTACTGGGATCTGCCAATACAACAACAATTCTTTATTGATTAGTCAATTTTGACCATATTAAAACATGCAAAACATACAAAACGTACACACTTGCCCATACTTACAGTAAAACCATATATGAATACAAGGCATCCTGGCCTACTGGCCTGTCAACCCACTCCTAAAATCTGCCAATACATCACACATTCCTAGACATTTGGGAAGTGTCCAATGTGTGATTGAATACAAAAGCCAGCATAGCAATCTTGTTTGATGTACTAATCAAGTTGTGTATCAAATAATAATGATAATAATAATATTTTTCAGCAAAATAATAATAATAATAATAATAATAATAATAATAATAATAATAATAATAGATAGGAGTTTAGGAGGAAAAAGATGTGGGAGAAACAACAATAACAACAGCAGGAGAAACAACAATAACAACAGCAGCAGCAACAAGCCCATACATCACACAGTCCTAGACATTTGGGAAGTGTCTGACGTGTGACCAAATACAAAAGCCAGCATAGCGATCTTGATTGCTGTGTACTCCTCTTGTTGTGTTTCAAATAATAATACACTTTATTTATATTCCATTTTATCTCCCTGAAAGGACTCAGAGACGATTGCAATACACAAATGAAGCAAACATTCAATGCCTTTTTACACACACAGGGAACAACAACATACAACAAGGACAAAGGTAAAGGAGTTATTTCTACAGATAACTTAATCGTACTTTTAATTCTTGTACAATGCAAATTCATGAGCTGTATCTACTTTTTGGAAGATGTAAATGGTAAACGCTCACCTCTGCCGCCACCTCCCAGTCGGGCCGCCCATCGCTGTCCTTCAGTTCTACGTAGGGCTTTTCGTGAACACGGTTCAGATCCTCATGGAGGCCGTCCAAAAGAAAAGCCAGGAGCTCCTGAGAGTCTTGCTGCTGGAATCCATTAAAGCGAGGAGCATACTTCGCTATCGTCCACTGCAAGGAAGCAAAGGAATGCTCTTTGATTGTAGGTGAACTATTCATCCCAGTAACTACAACTCCCAAATGACAAAATAATTTTTTGAGTGATGATCACTCCTTGGGTTAGTAGATGTCTTGTGGCCAAATTTGGGGGCAATTTTTCCTGTGGTTTTATGAGTTCTGTTAATCCCACAAACGAACATTACATTTTTATTTATATAGACTAGCTGTACCTGCCACGCGTTGCTGTGGCCAACCTTCCCTCCCTCTTTCTCTCCTTCCTTTCCTCTTTTTCTTTCCCTTCCTATTTATCTTCTTCTTTCTTCCATCTCTACCAGTTTCTTTCCTCCCTTTCTTTGCTCTTTGGTTACATCCTTCCTTCCCTGTATTTTTCCTTTCACTTTTTTATTTACTTCTCTCCTTTCTTGCTTCTCTACCTTTCTTTCTTTTCTTCCTTCTTTCCCTCCCTCCTTCTCTCCTTCCCCCTTTCCCGCCATCATTCCTTCCCTCTTTCTCTCCTCTCGTTACTTCTTGACTGTCCCTTCCAACTCTATTCTATTTAATTCTATTTAATTAAAGTCTATTTAATTTGTATTATGTAGTAGTATATAATAGTAACATATTATATAGTAATCTATATAACAATATATAAAATATTGTATTTATATCTTAGACAGAGAGAAGGAAAGGAAGAAGGAAGGAAGGAAGGAAGAAAAGGGAGGGAGGGAAAGAGGGAAAGAAGGGAAGGAAAGGAAAGGAAAGGAAAGGAAAGGAAAGGAAAGGAAAGGAAAGGAAAGGAAAAGGAGGAGAAGGAAGGAAGAGGAAGGGAAAGAAGGAAGGAAAAAGGAAGGAAGGAGGAAGGAAGAAGGAGAAAGGAAGGAAAGGAAGGAAGGAAGAAGGAAGGGAAGGGAAGAAGGAGAAGGAAGGAAGGGAGGAAGGAGGAGGGAGGGAGGGAGGAAGGAAGGAAGGAAAGGAAGGAAGGAAGGAAGGAGAGGAAGGAAGGAAGGAAGGAAGGGGAGAGAAAAGGGAAAAAAGGGAGGAAATTAAGGGGAAGGAAATGAGAAGGGGAAAGAAAGGAGGAAAGGGAGGAAGGAAGGAAGAAGGAAGGAAGGAAGGAGGAGGGAAAGAAGGAAAGGAAGGAGAAGAGAAGAAAGGGAAGGAGGGACAAGAAGGAAAGGAAGGAGGAGGGAAAGGAAGGAGGGAGGGACAGGAAGGAAGGAGGGGGAAGGAAAGGAAAGAGAAGGGAAAGAAGAAAAGGGAGGGAGGAAAGAAGGGAAGGGAGTGAGGGAGAGAAGTGGAGTGTGGCAGAGGCAACTACCTCCCGGTCTGGATGTTAATAGGAGAGAGAGAGAGTTAAATGTGTGCTCATGTTGCCAGAGACAGCCGAGCAGATAAGGGAGGGAAGAAAGAGATGGCGAAGAAGGGAATAGTCTCTCTCTCCTCCTCCCTCCTGCCTGCTGCTTCTACCGGGGCATCTTGAAGGAAGAGGAGGTGAGGAAAGGGAGGGCAGACAGCCAAGAGGAAAAAGGCTGCTGCTTCTGCTGGTGAGGGAGGGACTTGAGGAGCCCATCCACCATCGTCCTCCTCCTTTTCCTCACTCCCATGGTGAGGAAGAGAGAGAGAGAGAGAGAGAGAGAGAGAGCATCCCTACTTCGTGGATATTCACTTTTTGTGGGTGTACCTGGAACATAACACCCACGATAAGGGAGATAATACTCTGTGTGTGTGTGTGTGTGTGTGTGTGTGTGTATAGGGGGGGAGAGAGAGAGAGAGCATCCCTACTGCGTGGATTTTCACTTATCTCGGTGGTCCTGGAACGTAACACCCGCAATAAGTGAGGGAACACTGTATGTGTTTTCTGATGTTCTCCGAAACCCACTTGCAACCCCCCAGGGGATCCTGACCCCTAGCTTGAGACCACCTGACTTCTACTTACCCGTAATTTTAAAGGCGCGATGTTCTTTTGCGTCCCACTCCACAGCTCTTGGATCAAATCGCCGTAGCATTTGGCCATATGTCCCTTCATTCCTATCGGATTTGTCCTAGAATGGACGATTATCACATGTGAGTGCTCTTTGTTGCTTTTCCAAAACAAACAAGTCAAAGATTCCAAGGACCGCTCTGGATATTACCCAGGGATCCTCAGAGAGGCGATCCTCTACTTCTTCTGTCTCCTCATCCCTGAAAACACTGGCTACAATGGAAGCTCTTCCAAGACTTGTAGCTCTCAACTCTGGGCAGAACTGCTCTAGTCCCCCTGGTTTCAAAACCTCTTGACAATCAAGTTACCTGTTGAGCTCATACAGATGTCTGCCTGAGATGAAATACTGAGTCAGCGGTTGTGTGTTACTGACACACTGGATACTGGAATTCATGAAGCAGGTGTTCCCCAAGTTGCTCAGGCCCGTGGCCCCTTTTTCCGTAGGGACTGGGAAGAAGAAAAGGGTTATTAGAATGACAACACCACCTTTCAGTGCCCAACGCCCAGGTTCTCACTGAGAAACCCTTAATGGCAACCTATTTACTTATTTTATTTATTTATGGTATTAATAGCCCGCTTTTCTCAGCCATACGGCAACTAAAGGCGGGTTGCAGATTGGCACAATTTGATGCCAGACATTCATAAAAGTGACATTAAAAACAATTAGCATAACAATAATAAAGGACTGAACAAAAAGCAATGCCTCCATCTTCATTACTTGGGTTTGGATGGGAATATTTTAATAAATAAAACACAGAAATAATCCTTAGATGCAGGCGAAACATCAGGAGAGAATGCCCCTAGACCATGGCTATATAGCCCGAAAAAACCTACAACAACCCAATCCTTAGAATGTGCTCTTTAACTACCACTCTGGTGCAGTGGGTTAAACCCCTGTGCCGGCAGGACTGAACTCCGACAGGTCGCAGGTTCGAATCCGGGGAGAGGTGGATGAGCTCCCTCTATCAGCTCCAGCTCCTCATGCGGGGACATGAGAGAAGCCTCCCACAAGGATGATAAAAACATCAAAAATCATCCGGGCGTCCCCTGGGCAACGTCCTTGAAGACAGCCAATTCTCTCATACCAGAAGCGACTTGCAGTTTCTCAAGTCATTCCTGACACAATTAAAAAAAAAAACTACCACTATTCACTTTTTGACATAATAACCAGACAATTGGATATATTTCTGCCAACAATGAACAAGTTTTCTGAAGTCGTCACGGAAGAAGTCGACACTGTTTTTGCAACCAGAGTCTCACAGTTCTCTCAACGTCTTCATCAGAAGCATCATGATGTCCTCACAGATCTTCTTTCATTGTCGGGAAGAGATGGAAGTCAGATGGTGCTAAATCTGGACTGTATGGAGGATGTCGTACGGTGGTGAGATCCAGTCTCTGAAGTTTCAAATCTGTGTGCTTTCATTTCAGGTGTCAGCATCCTGGGTACCCATCGTGCACAGATCTTCCGATAGCCAAGCAAAGCAATAATGTGACCCACATGTTCTTGTGAAATGCCAATTATGCTTGAAATTCCTCTCTGAGTGATACAACAGTCGTCCTGAATCAATCTGTCAACTTTTTGCTTGTGCAACTCAGTGGTTGCTGTCACAGAATGTCCAAGTCTTTGTTTGTCACGCAAGTCAGATGTTCCCACCGCAACGTCTTTAAACTTACTCGCCAACGACGCACAGTACTCCCATCAACACAATCACCATAAATAAACAGCTTGCATTCTCTGATGAATCTCCTTTGGGGTGACACCTTCAATGACTGCACGTTGCTTAAGTCGCGCCAACTGAACATCTGTGCAGGGTTCCATACTTCCCACTTTTACAACACAACCACTTAATGCTAAGGCTTCCCGCCAAAATGGAACTGTAGACGAGAGTACTACCATCTATTGAGGAGTTACAAAGGTGGAGGCATTACTTTTCTTTCAACCGTCGTATACAGGATGTAACCAGAGCGTGGACCATCGTGGCCAAGTCAGACTTCCCAAGGTGGTTTCAAGAAGCCTTTGAGAACGACTAGTTCTAGTTCAGCCCTAGACATTGTTGAATATGGCCTTATTTTTCCTACCAATTACCCAGGTCACTTCCTCTAATCGGCCCCAGAAATTAACAGACATAGACCCGTACCTATTATTCTTGTTGCCTACTATAGCACTGCACTTAATTCCCGGACCCTCTAGAATTTTTGAGCTTGCACTAATCTCAACCCGGCCTTTTAAATTGCCTTGGGCAGGCAGGATTACTTTTAATATATATGTGATATGGTGACTATTTTTATGCTTATATATGTGTGTGTGTGTGTATGTGTGTGTATACTAGCTGTACCCGCCATGCGTTGCTGTGGCCAACCTTCCCTCCCTCTTTCTCTCCTTTTTTCCTATCTTTCCTTCCCTCCCTCTTTCATTCCTTCCCTCTTTTTCTTTCTTTTTCTTTCCCTTCTTCTTTCTTCCTTCTCTACATGTTTCTTTTCTCACTTCTTTTGCTGTTTGGTTCCACCCTTCCTTGTCTCTTTCCTTTCTTCCCTCCCTCTTTCTCTCTTTCGTTCCTTCTCTCCTTCCTCCCCTCTTTCACTTTTTTATTTCATTCTCTCCCTCCTCTCCTTCCTTCCTTCTCTACTCTTCTTTCTTTCCTTCTTTATCTCCTTCCCTCCTTCTTTCCCTCCTTCTCTCCTTCCTTCCTTCTCTACCCTTTTCTTTCCTTCCTTCTCTCCTTCCCTCTTTCTCTCCCTCCTTCTCTTCCTCCTTCTTGTTCACCCTCATCCAGACCGTCAGGACCTCAACAGCCTCCTTAGTACCGCTGTGAACCGCTGTGAGTCGCCTTCGGGCTTGAGATACAGCGGTATATAAGCAAAGTAAATAAATAAATAAATAAATAAAATAGTAGAAGGTGGGAAGGAGTGACCTTATCCCAAGATTTTCTTGGCCAGATTTAAAGTTTCTCATCACATTCCTGGCCCAAGGTTTTGGATTCTCCTATGAAGATCATCACAACAATGGCTTGTAATTCAGAATACTGGGGTCAAGAAGGGAGATACCGTCACGTACCTTTATGCCGATCTATTTTGCTGCTGTTTGCGATAAAGGACATTTCCTCGGGCCAACTCATGTCTTTGTTCCGGACTGTGAAAAGACACAACAAGATAGAAATGTACTTGAGGGACAGCAAAGAAAGTTAGGAAGTCAGTACATGCTGAACAGCAACGCTTTTTCAGACTGGGGATTGAAAAAAAGTTGTGTCACCGACTCCATCATTTTGCATACCTTCTATAATTAAGTGTTGGTCATCTTGGATGTTCAGGTACTCCAGCGTGTGATCCTCATCGTCCAGAAGCGTAAGGTAGTTCTGCAAAGGGAAGAACGGGTCAAATCTCCTTTAACATTCTGCCTGTCTCCAAGTTGGGCAATCTTTGGGCTCTCTTGTCACCGATGGATGGCAAATCAGAGCGCCTGGATAGCAACTTAGTGAAGGCCACAAACTACTCATAGACGCCATTACTTGAGATAGGTCTTCAAGGGTGCTGAGTCTAGCTACCGCATATACTCAAGTATAAGCCAAAATTTTCAGCCCTTTTTTAGGCTGAAAAAGCCCCCCTTGACTTATACTCAAGTCAAGGTTATTTATTATTTTACTTCAGGGGTCCTCAAACTAAAGTCCGGGGCCCGGATGCGGCCCTCCAAGGTCATTTGCTCAGGGTCAACCTAAGTCTGAAACGACTTGAAAGCACACAACAACAACAACAACAACAACAAACCTATCTCATCAGCCAAAAGTATGCCCACACTTCTCATTGAAATACTAATAAGCTTATATTTGTTAAAATTGTTCTTCATTTTAAGTATTGTATTGTTTTTAAGTGTCTTTTGCACTACACATAAGATATGTACAGTGTGCATAGGAATTCATTCATGTTTTCTTCTAATTATAATCCAGTCCTCCAACAGTTTGAGGGACTGTGACCTGGCTCCCTGTTTAAAAAGTTTGAGGGCCCCTGTTTTTACTCTATTATTATTATTATTATTACATTTATTATTTTTCTCTATTATTATTATTATATTTATTATTTTACTCTATTTATTATTGTTATTATTACATTTATTATTTTGCACTATAAGTATTATTATTATTACATTTATAATGTAATAAGGACCGGGTTGTGGCGCAGCTGGCTGGGAGTCAGCTGCACTATAATCACTACCGACTGAGAGGTTATGAATTCAAAGTCAGTCCAGGCTTCCAGCCATTTGTCTAGCTTGCTGTCGACCTTTGCAGCCGAAAAGACAGTTGCATCTGTCAAGTAGGGGAGTCTAATTTAATTAATTTACAATGCCATAAAACTCTCCAGCTGCATGCAAAAGAATGAGGAAGTACTCCATTGGTGTCACAAATGGATGGTGAAGCGACAGCTCCCCTGGTGGCCAGAATTCAAAAAGCATACCCTCATGAAGCTGAAAAGTTAAATAGCCTCTGTGTCTCTGTCTATATATGTTGTGTCTATGGCTCTGAATGTCTGCCATGTATATGTGCATTGTCATCCACCCTGAGTCCCCTGCAGGGTGAGAAGGGAAGAACAGAAATATTTATTTATTTACTGTATTTGTATACCACGTTTCTCAGCCCGTAGGCGACTGATGGAAGTTAAATACTGCAAATAAATAAATACTGTCAATTTTACTCTGTTATTACATTTATTATTTTACTGTATTATTATTATTGCATTTATTATTTTACTGTCTTATTATTATTACATATATTATTTTACCGTAGTATTATTATTATTACTACATGGATTATTTTACTCTATTATTACTGTTATTATTACATTTCCATTATTTTGTTGTTGTTCATTCGTTCAGTCGTCTCCGACTCTTCGTGACTCTTTGTGACCTCCATTATTTTACTCTATTATTATTTTTATTACATTGATTATTTCACTCTATTATTATTGGAAGGATACCTAAGCACATTTAGATTGAAGAAGGTGAGAATAATGGCTTAATCAGAGTTGGACAGTCTTACCTTAAATTACAGTTTTATGTAAATATTCAGAAACGTTTAACCTACGGATGCCTCAATTAATGTGATTTTATTGATACCTATTTTTATTTTGAAATTGACCAGTAGCTGCTGCGGTTCCCACGCTCGACTTATACTCAAGTCAATACGCTTTCCCAGTTTCCCAGTAAGATTAGGTGCCTTATATTTGAGTTGGCTTATACTTCAGTATATACAATAAATATGAAATACAGAAGGCAATGCTTTGGAGGTGGAAGAAGGAAGTACAGTGTTCCCTCACTTATCGCGAGTGTTACGTTCCAGGAACTCGGCTCTTACCTCGCTGTTGTACAGCCACAAGCGCATGTCCTCCTCTTTGATCCGCAGCCTCTGCGAGAGATATTCGTGGATCTCCTTGATGGTCTGCATGCGGCTAAAGCAACCCGTGTAGGCCAAGACCCGCTTTAAGGGGGCACTGGGCGAGGGGACGTTCCCTGTACAAGGAGGCAAAGACAGCTAAAAATGGGGGAAATTAATACACTGCTCCACTATACTTTGCTAGCTTAAGCTGACCAGCTAAAACTTCCAATTCTCCCAGGCAGCAATGAGCCAAGCTTTGAAGTTGCAAGGCCATTCAATGCTAATCAGTGGCCAAGGGCAACATTCACACTTGCTTCAAACAAACAAGAGTTATTACTTCCACCTTGGACGTTCCACAGATATATAACCCCCACTTGCCTAGTTTCCCACAGATCCAATCTCTGAGGATGCCTGCCACAGAGGTGGGCAAAACGTCAGGAGAGAATGCTTCTTGAATATGGCCATAAAGCCCGCAAAACTCACAGCAACCCAGTGACCAGTTAATGTTTACTAAGGCTAGAAAGTGGGCAAAGCGTGGCCCATTAGCATCTCATGGCATGTTGCTGAGCCTGTTTTAGGGAGGAATTCTTTTCAAAAGTTCTGGTACAGTGTTTCCTCGCAACTTTGCGGTTTACTTTTCGCAGATTTGTTGTTTCGTGGGTTTTTTCCTCCTCGCAATGCAACAATGGAGTGTGGAAGCGGGTTTTACCCTCTCGCTCAGGAGAGAGGCAGCCAATCATAAAAAAAACAGAGAGAGGAGATACAAAGCAGGATGCAAATCATGGCCTTATTGCCCCTTCCTTTTAGCTAGCAAAACAAAAAACAAAAACAAAACCAGTGCACAGTGCCTTTAAATCTCTCCTTGCTTTCGCTTCACCTTGGAATGTGAGATATATATATAGAGAGAGAGAGCACGTCACTACTTCACGGATTTTCACTTTTCGCTGGTGGTCCTGGAACTTAACACCCACGATAAGTGAGGGAACACTATTTTTCTAAAGAGATCAAGTAAACTCCTTTATTTATTTTTATCCCTTGTCTCTCACAGTGCAGAGACTCAAGGGGCCTATTCTTCATCCGCTGGGGGTGCAAAGAGCTAATGAAAGATAAGAGGGTTCCTCCCTTTTCTAGGACTCCTCTCTTTTCTAGGTAAACGTAAAAGTTCTCCATAACATGAAATCTAGCCATGTCCGACTCTTGGGGGGGGGGGGGGGGGGGGGGTGGTGCGGGGGGGGGGGGGGGGGGGGGGGGGGGGTGCTATCTCCATTTCTAAGCCCAAAAGCTGTCCGTAGACACCTCCAAGGTCATGTCCGACTCTTTGTGGGTGGGCGCTCATCTCCATTTCTAAGCCCAAGAGCTGACGTTGTCCATAGACACCTCCAAGGTCATGTGGCCACTGGTATAACTGCATGGAGAGCCGTTATCTTTCCACAAAAGTGGTACCAATTGATCTACAGTGTTCCCTCACTTATCGCGGGTGTTACGTTCCAAGACTACCAACGAAAAGTAAAAATCAGCGAAGTAGGGACACTCTCGCTCTCTCAGTCTCTCTCTCTCTATATATATATACAGTATTCCCTCACTTATCGCGGGTGTTATGTTCCAGGACCACCCGTGAAAAGTGAAAATCCGCGAAGTAGGGACGCTCTCGCTCTCTCGGTCTCTCTCTCTCTATATATATATATACAGTATTCTCTCACTTATCGCGGGTGTTATGTTCCAGGACCACCCGTGAAAAGTGAAAATCCGCGAAGTAGGGACGCTCTCGCTCTCTCGGTCTCTCTCTCTATATATATATACAGTATTCTCTCACTTATCGCGGGTGTTATGTGCAAGGACTACCCGTGAAAAGTGAAAATCCGCGAAGTAGGGACGCTCTCGCTCTCTCGGTCTCTCTCTCTCTATATATATACAGTATTCTCTCACTTATCGCGGGTGTTATGTGCAAGGACTACCCGTGAAAAGTGAAAATCCGCGAAGTAGGGACGCTCTCGCTCTCTCGCTCTCTCTCTCTATATATATATACAGTATTCTCTCACTTATCGCGGGTGTTATGTGCAAGGACCACCCGTGAAAAGTGAAAATCCGCGAAGTAGGGACGCTCTCGCTCTCTCGCTCTCTCTCTCTCTATATATATATACAGTATTCTCTCACTTATCGCGGGTGTTATGTGCAAGGACTACCCGTGAAAAGTGAAAATCCGCGAAGTAGGGACGCTCTCGCTCTCTCGGTCTCTCTCTCTCTATATATATATACAGTATTCTCTCACTTATCGCGGGTGTTATGTGCAAGGACCACCCGTGAAAAGTGAAAATCCGCGAAGTAGGGACGCTCTCGCTCTCTCGCTCTCTCTCTCTCTATATATATACAGTATTCTCTCACTTATCGCGGGTGTTATGTGCAAGGACCACCCGTGAAAAGTGAAAATCCGCAAAGTAGGGACACTCTCGCTCTTTCAGTCTCTCTCTCTCTATATATATGCAGTATTCTCTCACTTATTGCGGGTGTTACGTTCCAGCACCACCCGCGAAAAGTGAAAATTCGCAAAGTAGGGATGCTCTCGCTCTCTCGGTCTCTCTCTCTATAATATATAGTATTCTCTCACTTATTGCGGGTGTTACGTTCCAGGACCACCCGCGAAAAGTGAAAATCCGCAAAGTAGGGATGCTCTCGCTCTCTCGGTCTCTCTCTCTCTATATATATACAGTATCCTCTCACTTATCGCAGATGTTACGTTCCAGGACCACCCGTGACAAGTGAAAATCCGCGAAGTAGGGACGCTCTCTCTCTCTCTCTCTCTCTCTATATATATATATACAGTATTCTCTCACTTATCGCGGGTGTTACGTTCCAGGACCACGCGCAAAAAGTGAAAATCTGCGAAGTAGGGATGCTATATATGTACATCGAGTTCTGAAGGTGAGGCACTATGCACTTTTTTTTGCTTTTTTTCGGGCTGTCTGGTCATGTTCCAGAAGCATGCTCTCCTGCCGTTTTGCCTGCATCTATGGCAGGCATCCTCAGAGGTTGTGAGGTCTGTGACATTGTCCACATGCTTCTTGTGGATTTCAGTGGCTTCTCTGTGTAGTCTGACATGGTGAGTTGTTAGAGTGGTCCAGCATTTCTGTGTTCTCATATAATATGCTGTGCCCAGGCTGATTCATAAAGTGCTCTGTTATAATAATAATAATAATACAGTGTTCCCTCACTTATTGTGAGTGTTATGTTCCAGGACCACCCGCGAAAAGTGAAAATCCATGAAGTAGGGATGTTATATATGTACATCGCATTCCGAGGGTGAGGCAGAAGTGAGGAGAGATTTAAAGAAAGGGGCTATAAGGCCATGATTAGGAAGGGGCTATAAGGCCATGATTTACATACTGCTTTGTATATCCTCTTTCTCTTGATCGGCTGCTTCTCTTCCGAGGGGGAGAGGGAGACCCCCTTCCACACTCCATCGTTGCCAGGAGGTGGGATAAGAACGCTGCTCTGGGCAACGGCAACCATTCATAAACTGGGAGGCAAAAACCCGCGAAACAGCGAGTCTGCGAAAAGCGAACCACGAAGTAGTGAGGGGACACTGTACTCACAGGTGCATGTTTTCGAACTGCTAGGTTGGCAGAAGCTGGGCCTAACAGCAGGAGCTTACTCCATTCCCTGGATATTAACTGCCAACCTTTTGGTCAGCAAGTCCAGCAGCTCAGCGGTTTAACCCGCTGCATCAACAGGGGGCCCTCTCTCTTTTCTAGCTCATAGGAAAACAAGGTTTTTTAGACTCTAACACCCAGAACTCCCCAGTGAGATAGGAAATGCTGGGAGCTTAAGTCCAAAAAACTAACTTTCCCACTTCTACTTTACATTCCACAAACAGAGAGACGCACTCTCTCTTTTTTTTTTGCAAGCAGTTGTAATCAAAGAGCAAAATCAAAACGACCCTTTTCAAATCAAGTCAGCAAAGCATCTCTTTCTCTTCCCACTTTAACCTTTCACAGACCAAGCAAAGGATTATCGTTCTCTTTCGCATACAAAATACAAACAAAAATAATTTTACGGCAATTAAAAGGCGAGAGGATTAGGTATAAGATTACAGCAAGAAAGCGCAACATTGGGGCGGGGGGACGGGACGCGCTTGGGATTAATCGTCGATTTTGACAATTAGTGCGGAGCAAAACAAATTCCAAATCACAATCAGGCGAGAAAGCCCCAAAATCAGAATTAGTGATGTGTTTAAGGCAAGGTGGCGCCTGCTGCCGGAGGCCTGGGGAGAGTTGGGTAGCCAATTGGATCAAGCAAGAAGCCGCTGATTAGAAGAGATTCGAGGATACGTTTCTTTTCACAGGGTGGCAGGACGAGCAAAGGATTTGGGGCAAACCCTAAAGCAAGCTCTTATTAAAAGTCTTTTCCCCTGAAAAGACCGAGCAACGAACTGAACGCTAAGGGGAATTCAACACCAAAGGCCTGCTGGGATGAGCAGGACTGTCATCGGGACTGCCAAAAAGGCAAATCAAAACAGAAATACACCTCTCGTCTGGTTAAACTTTGCAAGGAAGACCCTGAAATGTATACAAGAATTTTGAAGGAAATGAACCACCCATTGTTACTACTACTACCACCACTACTATGAGAATTGTATGAAAAGTAATGCCTCCGCCTTTTCTACTTGGGTTTAGATGGGAATATTTTAATAAATCAAATGCAGATTTCATCCTTAGTATGTGCTCTTTAACTCCCACTATTCACTTTCCCACATAATCACCAGACAATTGGATACATTTCTGCCAACAATGAACAAGTTTTCTGAAGCCGTCACAGAAGAAGTCGACACTCTGTTTCTGCAAACAGCGTCTCACAGTTCTCTCAACGTCTTCATCAGATGTCCCCCCAGATCTTCTTTCATTATCGAGAACAGATGGAAGTCAGAAGGTGCTAAATCTGGACTGTATGGAGGATGTCGTACGGTGGTGAAATCCAGTCTCTGAAGTTACAAATCTGTGCGCTTTCATTTCAGTCATCAGTGTCCTGGGTTCCCATCGTGCACAGATCTTCCAATAACCAAGAAAAGCAATACCACTATTCACTTCTCCACATAATCACCAGACAATTGGATACATTTCTGCCAACAATGAACAAGTTTTCTGAAGCCGTCACAGAAGAAGTCGACACTCTGTTTCAGCAAACAGCGTCTCACAGTTTTCTCAACGTCTTCATCCAAAGCATAATGATGTCCCCAGATCTTCTTTCATTATCGGAAACATATGGAAGTCAGATGTTGCTAAATCTGGACTGTATGGAGCATGCTGTACAGTGGTGAGATCCAGTCTCTGAAGTTACAAGTCTGTGCGCTTTCATTTTAGGCGTCAGCATTCTGGGTACCCATCATGCACAGATCTTCCGACAGCCAAGCAAAGCAATAATGTGACCTACACGTTCTTGTGAAATGCCAATTATGCTTGAATTATCATCTCAACCTCTCTTCCTTTTTCCTTCCCTTTCTCCCAGTATCATTCTCTTCTCTAAGCTTTCCTGTCTTCTCATGATGTGCCCAAAGGACTTCATCTTCGTCCCGCTTCCTTTTTACTTCCATTTTCTTAGCCTCAGTCTCTTCTCCAAGCTTTCCTTATGCGGCCAAGACCTCCTCTCGACCTCTCTTCCTTTTTCCTTCCCTTTTCCCCAGCATCATTCTCTTCTCTAAGCTTTCCTGTAGTTTGAAGTCATTATTCCATTGCGTCCTAGTCTCCAGGGCAGCAGAAAGGACGCTTGCTCCCTCCTCCCTATAACTTCCCCTCACATACTTATACATGTCTATCATGTCTCCTCTCAGCCTTCTCTTCTTCAGGCTAAACAGGCCCAGCTCTTTAAGCCGCTCCTCTTGGGGGTTGTTCTCCAGACCTTTGATAATTTGACTTGCCCTCCTCTGGACACATTCCAGCTTGTCAACATGTCCCTTTAATTGTGGTGCCCAGAATTGGACACAGTGTGATTCCAGGTGTGGTCTAACCAAGGCAGAATAGAGCATGGGGAGCATGACTTCCCTGGATCTAGACACGAGACTCCTATTGATGCAGGCCAAATCCCACTGGCTTTATTTGTCGCCGCATCACATTGTTGGCTCATGTTTAACTTGTTGTCCACGAGGACTCCAATATCTTTTTCACACGCGTCCCCCAATCTGTCTCTTTGCATTTCATTTTTTCTGCCTAAGTGAAGTATCTTGCATTTGTCCCTGTTGAACTTCATTATGTTTGTTTGTCTCTCTTTCTTCGCTCAGCCTTCCTTATGGTCACTCTTAATGAGGTGGCGGACCTCCCAGTGGCGCAATGGGTTAAACCCTTTTGCCAGCAGAACGTAAGACCAACAGGTTGGAGGTTCGAATCTGGGGAGAGCGTGGATGAGCTCCCTCTGTCAGCTCTAGCTCCCCATGTGGGGACATGAGAGAAGCCTCCCACAGGGATGGTAAAACATCTACACATCCGGGCAACGGCCAATTCTCTCACAACAGAAGCAACTTGCAGTTTCTCAAGTTGCTCCTAACACGAGTAAAGAAAAATGAGGTGAGAACCATAACTCCGAACATTCAGGGCTTTTGATAAGAGCTTTCAGGGTATTTTTTGTAATCATTTTGGAATGGGGGGGAATAAAGCAGGAGCAGAATCGCCCATCACCAGCCCTGCTTTTTAGAGGATTTTGGAAGGATCATTTACAAGTGCGGCGGCAGCAAAGGCGTCCACGTCGGGGCGGTGGGGCAGCCCTCCCTTTGGAGACCAGGCAGCGGGATTCTTGCTGTATTCTTACATTACCTCTCGGCAACTGGTGAGGAAACATCCTCAGGCTCATCATACCCATGTTCACCCAGATATTGGACTGCTGCGTCCGGGTGGCTGGCTGCTGGCGCAGGAAGAGCAGGTAGCGGGGAAATAGCTCCAGTTCAGGATGGCGGGTTGTATTGTTGACAATCACCTGTGAAGAAAGAAAGAAAGAAAGAAAAAAGGGGAAAAAGAGAGGAGGAGAAGGGAAGGGAAAGGAAGAAAAGAAAGATGTGTGGGTGGAATTCATCATCTATCAGGGGCAGTTTGTGTTTTCCCTGAATGGCAGAGGGTTGGACTAGATGGCCCATGTGGCCTCTTCCAACCCTATGATTCTACGATCTGGTGGTACAATGTAATACAGTGTTCCCTCACTTATCGCAGGTGTAACGTTCCAGGGCCACCCGCGAAAAGTGAAAATCCGTGAAGTAGAGACGCTCTCTCTCTCGTTCTCTCTATATATACACATACAGTGTTCCTTCACTTATCGTGGATGTTTCGTTCCAGGACCACACGCGAAAAGTGAAAATCCATGAAGTAGAGACTCTTCTCTCTCTCTCTCTCTCTCTCTCTCTCTCTCTCTCTCTCTCTATATATATATATATATATATATATATATACATATATACACACGGTGTTCCCTCGCTTATCGTGGGTGTTACATTCCACTCACGAAAAGTGAAAATCCGTGAAGTAGAGACGTTCTCTCTCTCTCTCTCATATATATACACACACACACACACACACACACACACACACACACACACATATATATATATATATACACACACAGTTTTCCCTCACTTATCACGTGTGTTACATTRTAGGACCACCCGCAAAAAGTGAAAACCCGTGAAGTAGAGACTTTCTTTCTCTCTCTCTCTCTCTCTCTCTCTCTCTCTATCTATCTATATATACAGTGTTCCCTCACTTATTGCGGGTGTTATGTTCCAGGACCACCCGCGAGAAGAGAAAATCCATGAAGTAGAGACGCTCTCTCTCTCTCTCTCTCTCTCTCTATATATATATATATATATACACACACAGTGTTCCCTCACTTACTGCGGGTGTTACATTCCAGGACCTCCCGCGAAAAGTGAATATCCACGAAGTAGGGACACTATATTGATTTTAATATTTATACATTATTTTAGTAGTTATACACAATTTGAAGTCTTTATAAACCCTCCCCACACACTTATACACTACATAACCCTCCTTGAACGTGTTGTTCACATAATCCTCGACTTCAGCTTTATCCGCAGAGGCAGCCTCTCCATACAAACGCTCCTAAATTCCTATCGCTCCTGAAAGTTATCAAACCACCCCTTAGTGGCAGTGAATTTGCCAGATTTGGTGGGAGAACCAGTCGATGTCGATGGTCGAGTACCACAAAAACCCGCAAAACAGCGAAAATGCTGCAATAAATATTTATTGAATACCCGCGAAACAGCGAGTCCATGAAAAGCGAACCGCGAAGTAGCAAGGGATTACTGTATATATATCGCATTCCGAGGGAGGCAGAAGCGAGGAGAGATTTAAAGTCACCGAGCACTTTTTTTTTTTGCTAGCTATAAGGATGGGGCTATAAGGCCATGATTTACATACTGCTTTTTATCTCCTCTCTTTCTTTTTTATGATTGGCTGCCTTTCTCTCGAGGGGGAGGATGAAACCGTTCCAGGACCACCCGCTATAAGTGAAAATCCGTGAAGTAGGGATGATATATATATATATCGCATTCCGAGGGTGAGTAGAGCATCCCTACTTCGTGGCGGCCTCTTCCTCCTCACCACGTCCACTGCTCCCTGCCTCGGAGGCCCCTTCCTCGCCAGGCTTTCAGCAGTAACAAATTTATTGTGATCTGAATAATCCTTTGGATGTTGTCTTTCTTCTGAATTCTTAAAGTGAGGTGAGCAACTGTGAGAGGTCAGTGTTCCAGTTTTTTGCCCCAAAGTCCAAGGGGTCTCCCAGGTGGGGTAGGGATGCTCCACTCGATCAGTGGTGGCCTTCTCCTCCTTCCCGCCCCCACTGCTCCCCGCCTCAGAGGCCCCTTTTGGGCACCCAGCCTGGCGAGGAAGGAACGGGGAGCAGCTATACAGTGTTCCCTTGCTGCTCCTCGCGAAACAGCAAGTCTGCAATAAGCGAACCACGAAGTAGCGAGGGAACACTGTATAAGTCGATGGGGGCTTTTCAGCCTAAAAAAAGTGCTGAAAAACTCAGCATGTACTTGGAGGGGGGGGGGGGTCCCAAACGTAGCTCCAGGGGCTGCATATGGCCTGTGCTCAAACCTTTGCACATCAGGAGAAATGAGCTGGTCTTTTTGAGACCGGGAAAGAGGCTTGTTTCCATGGAGAATGTGTGGGAGAAGTTTAGTGGCAGGCCTCCGCTTTGTGGTGCTTCGCAACGACAGTCTGTATCAAAGCTTTGGCTGCGAACATCTGCCAGTTTCAAAAGTGGCTAAACATTACCCAACAGTGCATTAAGCTGCCAGGAAAAGCAACAACACACAAAATCTGAAAGTGAAGCGGTTCTCAAAATCTAAGTGGAGAGCTAGTCTCAGGTGGGATGATTTGCCACAGCAGGAAAAACACATACCAGGGAACACATTCCAACACTTACAATGCTGACCCCTAACAACATAGAGACCCCTCTTTTCAGACTTACCGGCCGAGGTAAAGACAGGTTTGCACCGTACCAATGATAAAGCGCCCTCCACACCGGCTCGGGGACAATTTCATAACTCTTCCCTTGAATCAGCGGCGGGGACTGTTTGAGTCGGCCGCCTTCCAGGGTCAACGTTGGAGCCTTTGCAAAAGACAGCAAAAAGAGAAAGGGGGCATCACATTCTAAATCCTTCAAATCTACAATCAATCTACAAAAAAGAGGACTTCCTAACTGGGTTGCTGTGAGTTTTCCGGGCTGTCTGGCCATATTCCAGAAGCATTCTCTCCTGACGTTTCGCCCACATCTAAGACAGGCAGCCTCAGAGGTTGTGGGGTCTGTTGGAAACTAGGCAAGTGAGGTTTATATGTCTGTAAAATGATGTCCAGGGTGGGAGAAAGAACTCTTGTCTGCGAATGTTGCAATTGGCCACCCTGGTTAGCACTGAATGGCTTTGCAGCTTCAAAGCCTGGTTGATACTGCAGAATCAGGACAGTAAATAAAGAGCAACACTCAAAAAGCAGGGGAATTCCAGACAAGAATAAATCAGGGCCAGCTAACACCTCCCAACAAAGGATTCCCCCAGGCAGCAATCAGTCAGGCTTTCAAGCACTGAATGGCCTTGCAGCTTCAAAGTCTGGCTGATACTGCAGAATCAGGACAGTAAATAAAGAGCAACACTCAAAAAGCAGGGGAATTCCAGACAAGAATAAATCAGGGCCAGCTAACACCTCCCAACAAAGGATTCCCCCAGGCAGCAATCAGTCAGGCTTTCAAGCACTGAATGGCCTTGCAGCTTCAAAGTCTGGCTGATACTGCAGAATCAGGACAGTAAATAAAGAGCAACACTCAAAAAGCAGGGGAATTCCAGACAAGAATAAATCAGGGCCAGCTAACACCTCCCAACAAAGGATTCCCCCAGGCAGCAATCAGTCAGGCTTTCAAGCTGCAAGGCCATTTGATGCTAATCAAGGTAGCCAATTGCAAATTTACACTTGCCTTAACCAGACAAGAGTTCTTTCTCTCACCCTTGACTTTCCACAGATATATAAACCCATATATAAGTACCTGTGGAATAACATCCATGGTGGGAGAAAGGACTCTTGTCTGCTCTAGGCAGGTTTGAGTGCTGCAACTGGCCACCTTGGTTAGCACTGAATGACCTTGCAGCTTCAAAGCCTGCTTGCTTCCTGCCTGGTGTGATCCTTTATTGGGAGGTGTTTTATTTATTTATCATGTCAGGAGCGAGCCAAAACAGTTGTACTGCATTAAAAACAAACAAACAAACAAACAAACAAACAAAACACAAAGTCTTGGTATTCTATTTAATGTCCTTTGACCAGTAGCTGGCCACTTGGAGTGCCTCTGCAAGAAGGCCCCCCATTGTGCATGTGGCAGGGCTCAGGTTGCATTGCAGCAGGTGGTCTGTGGTTTGCTCTTCTCCACACTCGCATGTCGTGGATTCCACTTTGGGAGGTGTTAGCTGGCCCTGATTGTTTCCTGTATGGAATTCCCCTGTTTTTTGAGTGTTGTTCTTTATTTACTGTCTTAATTCTAGAGTTTTTTTAATAATACTGGTAGCCAGATTTTGTTCATTTTCATGGTTTCCCCCTTTCTGTTGACAATTTCCAAATGCTTCTTGTGGATTTCAATGGCTGACATTGAACTGCAACATTCACACTTGCCTCCGGCCAGCAAGAGTTCTTTCTCCCACTCTGGACATTCCACAGATATATAAACCCCACATGCCTAGTTTCCAATAGATCTCACAACCTCTGAGGACTCAGCCAGGCTTTAGTGGTTGTGAGAGTGGTCCAGCCTTTCTGTATTCTCTAATAATATTCTGAGTCCAGATTGGTTCATCAGGTGCTCCGCTCTGGCTGGCTTCTCCGTTTTTTAAGTCTCTTCTGCTGTGTTTTTCAGTATTTTTATGAGTGATGGTCACTCGTTGGCCTGATCGGTGTCTTGTGTCCAAATCTGGTGTCAATTCATCCAGAGGTTTTTGAGTTAGGTTAATCCCACAAACAAACATTACATTTTTATTTATATAGATTATTATTATTATGTTCATTTTCATGGTTTCCTTCTTTCTGTTGAAATTGTTCACATTCTTCTGGATATGGACAATAAAGAATCTGCAAAGCCCACCTTCTCCAAAATGAACTCTTGTGTCCAACTCTGGTATCAATTCGTCCAGTGGCTTTTGAGTTATGTTAATCCCACAAACAAACATTACATTTTCTATTTACTAGCCATCCCCTGCCACGTGTTGCTGTGGCCCAGTCTGGTGATCTGGAAAATAATGTGAAAGTGTGCGTTTCTAATATATGTAATTTCTTTATGCTTGTGGGTAAACAGTATTTCTTGCTGTTTCTTTGTCAGTGCTGACGTGGAGATCTGGTTAGCTTACTCTGGAACATGCAACATATAATTTTTCTTCTTTACGAGTCCCTTTCAAATCTATGATACTGTATCTCTCTGTATGTGAATCATATATATATATCTTTATCTATGGCTGGATGGCTCTTTGTCAGGAGGGCTTTGATTATGTTTTCTTGCCCCAGTGAAGGGAGTTGGACTGGATGGCCTGAAGTATTTTCTGTTAGTCCTGGGGGTTCTGCATGGGAAGTTGTGTCATTGGTGGTATTCAGAATGCTCTTTGATTGTAGGTAAACTATAAATCCCAGTAACTACAAACCCCAAAGGTCAAGGTCTATTTCCCCCGAACTCCATCTGTGTTCATATTTGGGCATATGGAATATTCATGCCAAATTTGGTCCAGATCCATCATTGTTTGAGTCCACAGTGCACTATGGATGTAGGTGAACTACAACTCCCAAACTCAAGGTCAATGCCCACCAAACCCTTCTAGTGTTTTCTGTTGGTTATGGGAGTCCTGTGTGCCACGTTTGGTTCAATTCAATGACTGGTGGAGTTCAGAAAGCTCTTTGATTGTAGGTGAACTATAAAACCCAGCAACTACAACTCCCAAATGACAAAATCTTTTCTTTTTTTTTGAGTGATAGTCACTCATTGGGTTGTTAGGCATATTCTGCCCAAATTTGGTGTCAATTCATCCAGTGGTTTTTGAGTTATGTTAATCCCACAAACAAACATTACAATATTTTTTTATTAGCCATCCCCTGCCTCGCGTTTCTGTGGCCCAGTCTGTGTATATGTGTTTTGTGTGTGTATATATTCGTGTATATGTGTGTCTGCGCTTATATATGTGGTTTTGCGCATGCCTTGCAATGCATTTTTTGTTTTTTGGCTTTTTAAGTCCCTTCTGCTGTATTTTTCAGTGTTTTTTTATGAGTGATGGTCACTCGTTGGCCTGATAGATGTATTGTGTCCAAATTTGGTGTCAATTCGTCCAGTGGTTTTTGAGTTATGTTAATCCCACAAACAAACATTACATTTTTATTTATATAGATAAATAATAATTTATAATATAATTATTTGGAAGTCTTCATAGGGTTATCAAAAGCCTATGTTAACTTGACTGCAATTGGCAAAAACAAACACCGCCCAAGGATTGACGAAGAGCGGTAAGGAAATGTCTGAAAAGAGCTCACGAGATTTCATGGCATGCACATCCTTCTCCCCGGTTTTGCCGACTTGGACACTTTGCTTACCTTCATGGGATCTTGCGTTACGAGCGGCTGGTTATCAATGGCTCCTGGCCGCTGTGGACTAAGCTGCAATAATACATTCCCATTCGAGCCGAGCAGGCATTGGTTGTTGTTGTCCGAGGAGTTCAGCTGGCGGGCAAAGCACATCTCGGTGGTAGGACTGCTGCTGTGAAGGAAATCTGGGAAGGGTGGAAGAAGAAGAGGAGAAGGAGGAGAACAAATAATGCATTTCAGATGGCAGTGAAGTACAAGAGGTAGGCAAATTTTGTTGCTGTCCTTCTTTGTTTTCATGCTTACTGCTGCCAGTGGTTTCGGAGGCTTCCGACGCAGAGGAAACGTTATCGGAAAGCTTTTCTTCAACGTAATTTACGCCACCTGCTTTGTCTTCTCCTTGCTCCGCCGTACGGGAACTGGGACCTGGTCGCAGGTTCTTGCCTCCGTTCAATACGGATGAAGGCTCAATCACAACAGGGCTCGCATCCTGAAACCAAAATTAAATGGGATTACTTGTTTCGATTACATTTATCTAGTACAGCATTCCCTCACTAATCGTGGGGGTGACGTTCCAGGAAGTCTTGCAATAAGTGAAAAACCGCGATGTAGGGAAGCTATATTTATTTTAATATTTCATGGCCACATCATGAGAAGACAGGAAAGCTTAAAGAAGACAATGATGCTGGAGAAAGTGGAAGGAAAAAGGAAGAGGGGCCGACCAAGGGCAAGCACCGGGATTGTGGCGCAGCTGGCTGAGTGTCAGCTGCATTAAGATCACTCTGACCAAAAAGGTCATGAGTTCGAAGCCAGCCCGGGTTGGAGTGGGTTTCCAACCAATTGTGTGTAGCCTGTTGTTGACCTTTGCAACGCGAAAGACAGTTGCATCTGTCAAGTAGGAAAATTAGGTACCACCTTAAAAGTGTGGGGAGGCTAAATTAACTGATTTATGAGGCCATAAAGAAGACTCCAGCAAAGCATTCCAGCGGGGAAGCATGCGGGGAATGCGGGAGTGCTTCATCAGCGTCGCAGATGGACGATGAAAGCGACAGCTCCCCTGGCGACAGCTCCATCGTCAGCAGAGGGTCCAAAAGGACTCCCAGACTCTTTACCAATGATGACGGGCATAGCGCCTCGCCATCCAGGGTAGGCAGCTGGATATCCCCACTGCCCGGTCGACCCAGCCATAGGATCTCCGTCTTTGCTGGATTCACCCTCAACCTGCTGGCATGCAGCCATCCAGTAACGGCCTCGAGGCACTGATGGAAATAATCGGGTACAGAGTCCGGTCGGCCTTCCATCTTCAGCACCAGCTGAGTGTCATCAGCGTACTGATAACACTCCAGCCCAAAACCTCGGACCAGCTGAGCAAGTGGTCGCATATAGATGTTAAACAACATTAAGATCACTCTGACCAGCCCGGGTTGGAGTGGGTTTCCAACCATTGTGTAGCCTGTTGTCGACCTTTGCAACGCAAAAGACAGTTGCATCTGTCAAGTAGGAAAACAAGGTACCACCTTAGAAGTATGGGGAGGCTAAATTAACTGATTTATGAGGCCATAAAGAAGACTCCAGCAAAGCATTCCAGCGGGGAAGCATGCGGGGAATGCGGAAGTGCTTCATCAGCATCGCAGATGGATAATGAAAGTGACAGCTCCCCTGGCGGCCAGAAAAAAGTTTAATAGCCTCTCTGTATGTCTGTATATGTTTGTATATCAAAAATTGGCATTAAATGTTTGCCATATATGTGTACACTGTAATCTGCCCTGAGTCCCCTGCAGGGTGAGAAGGGCGGAATAGAAAAGCTGTAAATAAATAAATAAATAAGATGGATGGTATCCTTGAAGTGACTGGCTTGACCTTGAAGGAGCTGGGGGTGGTCCATGAGGTCACAAAGAGTCGAAAGCGATTGAACGAATGAACAACACAACAACACAATTTCAAGTCTGTATAAACTTAAAATAAAGTGAAGGAAAGTGGATGAAAGTAGAAGGAAATTGCAAGTAATGAGTAAGGGAATATAATGAGGTTTGGAAGGAAAATAAAGCTTTGATTGCACTGGTGGTTTGGGACAACAACCAGAATCTTTTCTAATGGACGTTAATTGCCAGCTTCACTTATCTACTCCTCCGCTCAGTGACTTGGCAATTGTTTCCTGCTCATGCAGGACTTATAATAACAATATAATAATAATAATAATAAACTTTACTTATACCCCGCCCCATCTCCCCGAAAGGACTCAGGGGAGCTCTTCCCTATGGCGCACAGCAAACACAAAAGGATCAATCAGAAACAGAACAGGCTGAAGGGGTCCGATAATGGACTAGGACCAAACTTGGCACAGAGAAGCCCCATGACCAACTGAACATACTGGAGGGGTTTGGGGGAAATGACCTTGATTTTGGGAGGTGTAGTTCACCTGCATTGCGAGAGCACTCAACCCAGTTGACGACGGATCTGGACCACACTTGCCACATAGACCCAACATGGCCAACTGTAAATATTGGCTGGGTTTGGGGTGATTTCCCTGGGAATCTGGGAGTTGTAGTTCACCCTTATCCAGAGAGCACTGAGCGCAGCCAATTACAGATCTGGGCCAAACTTGGCACACAGATCAAACATTGCCAGATGTGAATACTGGCTGGGTTTGGTGGTGATTGCCCTGGAATCTGGGAGTTGTAGTTCGCGCTTATCCAGAGAGCACTGAGCCCAGCCGATGAGAGATTTGGGCCAAACTTGGCACACAGATCTAACATTGCCAGCTGTGAATATTGGCTGGGTTTGGGGGTGAATGCCCTGGGGAATCTGGGAGTTGTAGTTCATCCTTATTTAGAGAGCACCAAACCCAGCCGACGACAGATCTGGGCCAAACTTGGCACACAGATCAAACATTGGCAGTTGTGAACACTGGCTGGATTTGGGGATGATTGTCATGGGAATATGAGAGTTGTAGTTCGCCCTTATCCAGAGAGCACTGAACCCAGCCAACGACAGATCTGGGCCAAACTTGGCACACAGATCCAACGTGGCCAGCTGTGCATACAGGTTTGGGGAGGATTGACCCACGATTTCGGGAATTGTAGCTCACCCACATCATTATGTATTTTCTAATGAGAGCATTAATAAAAAATGAAATCAAAGACTGGGTTTTTCTAATAAATAGTGTTACTAATTAACTAAATGATATTACCTAACACCTCAAAACAAACAATGCATTTTTCAAATAACCCGGGCACCGCCAGGTACCCTAGCTAGTGAATAATATATGCAAAGTAAAAGTATTTACATATTTGACGTAGTCTTTCCACTGTTGCCACCACTGCATTGCGATCAGGAACCAGTTGTGTCCCGGCTGAAGGCCGTACCTGCTTTCCCGTTCCAACCATCCCCTAAGTCAATACAAGAGAAAACAAATTAGTTCCTCAGTTAACCAGGCCTTGGTCAAAAAATCTCATTTGATTCAGGAACAGCCAAGACTGTTCAGGAATTGCCAAGAGTCCAGTTGGGGTGGAAAGAGGGAGAGGCCTACCTTATGATCTGCCCTTCCTCTTCGGGAGTAGCAGGTCTTAAACCTAAGACGATATGGCACACCTAGCAAAAAAGAGGGAGACAAAAGGGAAAGAGGCACATTTATTCAGCAATGGAAACCCAATGAGATATGCTGCACTCTCTCAGCATCAAAGGAGGCCCATTGCCAACCCCCCCCCCCCCCCCCCCCCCCCACCAAAAAACCCATGATAGCTTTGCCTTGGGGTCGCCCTAAATCGGAGAAAACTTAGGCTGGATCAACACTGTCAAATAACACAGATTGAACAGCACAGACTTGTGTAACGCAGTTCAAGCTGCATCCTGGGTCTACACTAACCTTACGATGCAGTTCAAATCATAATCTATATAAATAAAAAATGTAATGTTTGTTTGTGGGATTAACATAACTCAAAACCCACTGGACGAATTGATACTAAATTTGGACACTATACACCAGGGGTCCCCAATCTAAGGCCCGCGGGCCACTTCCGGCCCACCAAGGGCACTTATCCGGCCCGCGGAGGAGGGGCGCCCCCCCCCACACAGTGCCCCTTCCCTGGCTGGCTCACACTGCCCGTCAGCCCGATGAGCAGTGTGAGCCAGCCAAGGGCTGCTGCTCCGCGTGGTCTACTCTTGTGTAAAGCACCTCGTGAGGTGCTTTACATGAGARTAGACCACGCGGTGCTGCTCYTCCCTTGGCTGGCTTACTCTCTCATGCCCGATGGGCAGCTTGAGCCAGCCAAGTGAGGCTGCCCTGRCTCTCCAGGCAGTCATGCCGGCCACATGACCTTGGAGGTGTGTCTATGGACAACGCCGGCTCTTTGACTTAGCAATGCAGATGAGCACCACACCCCAGAATCAGACAAGACTGGACTTCATGTCAGAGGAAAACCTTTAACTAGGATAATTGTGGAAGATCCAGGGTGGGAGAAAGAACTCTTGTCTGTTGGAGGCAGGTATAAATGTTTCAATTGGCCACCTTGATTACCATTTCATGGCCTGACAGTTTTTAGGAAGAATCTTTTCTTGAGAGGTGATTAGCTGGCCCTGATTGTTTCTTGTCTGGAGTTCCCCTGTGTTTGAGTGTTGTTCTTTATTTACAGTTATAATTTTAGAGTTTTTTTAATACTGGTAGCCAGATTTTGTTCAGACTAGAAATAGGAAGATTTCCCATTCTCTGCTCCTGGAATTACTGCCTAAAGAGGGCTAGAAAAAAACCCCTCAAAGGGCCTTTCCACACAGCAAAATAAGATATGTGCAATGTGCATAGGAGTTTTTTTTAATTGTTTTTTTTAATTAAAAAAAAAACTATAGTCCAGCCCTCCAACGGTCTGAGGGACAGTGAACTGGCCCCTGGTTTAAAAAGTTTGAGGACCCCTGCTATACACCTATCAGTCCAACAAGTGAGCATCATTAATCAAAACACTGAAAAACACAGCAGAAGGGACTTAAAAAGCCAAAAAACAAAAAATACATTATAACACATGCACAAAACCACACACACACATGCAAACACACATATGCACAAATATATACACATGCATGTACACATATACACACACAAAACACATATATACAGACTGGGCCACAGCAACGCGTGGCAGGGGACAGCTAGTGTGTGTGTGTGTGTGTGCGCGTGCGTGTATGTATATACATACATATACATATACATATATATAGGTGGGTCAATAAGTTGCCTCTTGCGTCATAAAGATGTTATGAATGAATATATACTCTCTCACACACACACTACATCAACTAAAAGCAAAATGAACTTGGAATCACTTTTTTAATTTCCATATATATATATATATATATATATATAGGTATGGGTGGTCAAAACGTTTTGCCTCTTGTGTCATAAAAATGATATGAATAAATATATACTCCCACACACACACACACATTACATCAACTAATACCAAAACTTGGACTTATAATAACATAAATAGGACTAATAATAATAATAATAAGTCCTATTATTGTTGTTGTTGTTGTTGTTGTAACAAAAGATTCCTGAATGCAACTCTTGACTGTGGGCTCTGCAGAAGATGTTCCACTCAAAAATAAGCCTATTTTTTATTGAACTGGTTTCAATAATGTGTAAGGCAATGGTTCTCAACCTTCCTAATGCCGCGACCCCTTAGTACAGTTCCTCATGTTGTGGTGACCCCCAACCAT